CCCCCACCCTGAAGGGGGTGTGACCAGCTGCGAATACACCCATCAGCCCCTCACCCAAGCTGGCCAGGCACCCCAGCGGAACCCCCACCCTGATCCAGGACACCCTTCAGGGCAAACCAGCCGGCCCCCACCCATGCACCAGGCCTCTATCCTATATAATAAAAGGGTAATATGCAAACTGACCCTAACAGCAGAAAGACTGGGAATGACTGGTCACTATGATACACACTGACCACCAGGGGGCAGACGCTCAATGCAGGAGCTGCCCCCTGGAGGTCAATGCGCTCCCACAGGGGGAGCTCTGCTCAGCCACAAGCCAGGCTGATGGCTGCCAGTAAAGTGGTGGTGGTGGGAGCCTGTCCCGCCTCCTCAGCAGCGCTAAGGATGTCTGACTGCAGCTTAGGCCTGCTCCCCGCTGGCAAGTGGACATCCCCCGAGGCTTGCGAGGCTGCCAGAGGGATTTCTGATTGCCAGCTTAGGCCCAATCCCCTGGGGAACGGGTCTAAGCCAGCAGGTGGTCATCCCCCGAGGGGTCCCAGACTGTGAGAGGGCACAGGCTGGGCTGAGGGACCCCCCCGCTCCTGAGTGCACAAATTTTTGTGTACCGGGCCTCTAGTATGTATATAATTGGAATATAAGGTTTTAAAGGCTCTCTTTCTAAGATTTTAAAAATCCTGTTTAAAATTAACAATATCAACTTAATATAAAATTCTTAGAGCTTAAGGGTGCTTTTCCAATTGTGGTTTTCTTTAGATGAAGTACAGAGAAGTTGAAATTTGCCCAGTGCAACACAGCAAAGTTGGAAGTAAAGCTTGTATGCCCTGACTTCCGTGTTAGAATTATTTCTACTTCAAACTTGCTTCTTGGTAAGCTGATTTTAAAATAATTAACAGGTATTTTATTCATTTTTTATTTATGTACTTGAGCAACATTCCTATGTTGTGTCAAAATGAACTTAAAAATATGAAATTTACTGATAACTTTTGTGATGAAAATTTCAACTCTTTGTTTGGTTTTAGGTGAGTTAATGTGGGAAAAATCCTGGTATTGTGAAGATGTCTCGGCATAATATTGTTTCCTGTTTAAATTACAAGTAATATCAAGAGTTTTCAGAAAAAAAAATTGGGATTTTTTGTTTTTGTTAAGTCATGCCATCTGAACAGAAACAGTTATTTTTTGATGACAATGAAGCTGCTTTACGAAAAGATTATGATGGGAAAAATGACATAGTTGATACTATCAGATCAGTAATTAAGCCAAAAATTTTGGAAAGTAGTTTTCATTATAAACTGAAAAATGTGCAAATTGATTTGCCGAAGATAAATATTCCAAATGAAGTCCTATTGAAACATGAAGTTGACAAATACAGAAAATTATTTCAGCATAAACCACAGACTGCAAGGAAATCTATCAATATGAAGACTGGAAGCTGTATAGAGGAGAGTGTGTTGCTACATAAGTCTGAGAAGTTGAAGAAACGGGTATAAAAATGTCTGCAAAAGTACTCAGTTTCAACTGTTTAAAATGCCAAGATAGCACTCGATATAGCCCAAATGATTTGCAAAAACACTTTCAAATGTGGCACCAGGGTGAATTACCTTCCTATCCTTGTGAAATGTGTAGTTTTTCAGCAAATGACTTCCAGATATTTAAACTACACAGACGAATCCATAGAGGCACTTTAGTAAAATGTGACATTTGTAACGATGAAAAAATATATACTTTATTAGACTTGACAAAACATTTTATATCCACACATTGTGTAAATGGTAGTTTTCAATGTGAAAAGTGCACATTCTCCACCCTGGATGTTGGCACATTTGTTCAGCACATTCATAGACACAATGATGTCCATTATAAAAGTGATAAATACCATCATATATATTTTACCAGAGGAGAGATTCAGAAGCACCTTCATGTTAATTCTGTTACATTTCCCTTCAATTGTAAATATTGTAGGTTTGGTACCTCAAAGAGAGAGTACCTTGTAAGACATGTTTTAACTTTACACAAAGAACATTTATATGCGAAAGAAAAACTGGAAAAAGACAAATATGAGAAAAGGATGGCACAGACTTCAGTAGGACTTAAGCTAATACTTAAAAGATACAAAATAGGTACATCTAGGAAGATATTCTGGAAACGTAAGAAAATCAACAATGGAAGTGATGAAAGTATAGAACAAAATACTGAAGTGCTTAAAAACGTGAACAAAACACAGGCTCAATCTGAAGACCAGAGCCATCTTACTCAAGAACATTTAAATGAAGAAAAGGATGAACGACTACACTGTGAGAATAATGATAAAACTGCTGAGTCAGAGTTGGAAAAGCCAACTCTTCTGTCCACTGGACAGTATAATAGAGCTGGAGAGCTATCAAATTCTACTTCTGGTTCCTCAAAAACTGCTGTACAAGGACCTACAATGGTAACAGTGAAAAATAATAGAATAACAGTTCCAGCTAACTATAGTGCTAAGTTTATGGGCTTCAAGATGGTGGATGGAAAACAACATATTGTAATAAAATTGTTGCCTACCATTAAACAGAATTTATGTTCACCAGGCTCACAGTCAGATACTGCAAAGGACAGTACTGCTAATTTGCAGCTGCAGAGTTTGGACACCACTGGATTTATAACAAGAGTAAAAACTGAGGTAAGTGACACAGTTTACATGAAAGCACCTACATTGTCATGTTCATCTCCTATACCTGCCGGGAAAGTAACTTCAGAAAAAGAAATAGCCTTACTATCTCAAATGAGTAATACACTTCAAACAGTGGATGATGAAAAAAGTGTATCTTCTTTGCCAACATCCTCAGAATTAGTTACATCATCAGCGAATTTAACCACAAAAGTTGAAACAAGAGATAATGTTAACTTATTGGGAAGTCATATTACTCATAGTCGCCCTAAGGTATCAGATACTGCCATTAAAAGTCCAGATAAAGTCAACTCTACTACCAAACCAAATGCATACAACAGAGGAGATATGCATAACTATTGCATTAATTATGTCAGCTCTGAATTACCCATTGAATCTTCCAACCAAGGATCATTACCTTTTCATAATTATTCAAAAGTGAATAATTCTAATAAACGTCGTAGGTCTTTAGGAATAGCAATGTGTGAAAGCCCTCAAAGAGAATCTTCATCAAGCAAGACAGTTGTTCAACAACCAGTAAGTGAATCAGTTTTATCACTAGTGAAAAAGGAGAGCTCAAACTCAGATAGTATGTTAACATCTGTTAGTCTTTTAAATACTAAAGATGAAACTTTAAAAACTCAAACTGAAATAGAAGAACAGTGTGTTTTAGAAAAAGAACAAGACATTGATGAACAGAGCCTATATATAAATGAAAATCAAAATTTAGAGAGCATGACTAAAAAATCTAATGATGACATTTCCATTGTTGAGTCACCTATGATGCCTAGAATCACATCTGTGTTCTCTCTTCAGAGTGAACAGGCATCAGAATTTTTGCCACCTGAAGTAAACCAGTTGCTTCAAGATGTATTAAAGATAAAATCTGATGTAAAACAAGACTCCAGTAACACTCCAGATAAAGGCCCGTCACTTCACTGTGACCAGTCATTTCAGAAACATGAAGGAGAAGGCAAAATTACTGAATCTTCAAAGGACTTCAAAGTACAAGGCATCTTCCCAATTCCATCTTGTAGTATGGGTATTAATGTGCCACCAAATTATCTGAATTTAAAATGTCATGGAAAAGAAGCACAGTTACTCTCAGTGTCACAAGATGTGAGAGATTCAGAGAAGACACCTAGAATTTCAGGTATTGGCACATTACTTAAGACTCAGTCAGATGCAATAATAACGCAGCAGCTCGTAAAAGACAAACTACGTGCCACTACACAAAACTTAGGTTCTTTATATATGCAGAGTCCACTTGTAAATTCAGAACCAAAAAAAGCTCTATTTGTTCAGACTACAAAAGGCTTTTTTGTACCATTGCACATTGCTAACAAACCTGGACTACATGTTGTTTCAGGAAGACCACAGGTTAATACGCAAGGTGTACCTGCTACTCTTCTTTTAAACAAGAAACCTGGGATGATTTTAACATTTAATAATGGAAAATTTGAAGGTGTTAACACTGTAAAAAGTGAGAGTACTCAAGCTTGTGGAACTACAACAAAAGAGCCTTGCAGAACACCTTTTTTAAAGGTAGAACCAAACAATAATTGTCTAACACCTACACTTTGTTCCAGCATTGGCAGTTGTTTGAGCACGAAAAATAGCTCAGAAAATACTTTGCCATTAAAAGGCCCTTACATTATTAAAACACCAGTAAGTTCTTCAGGGAAACCTGTGCCTCCTCCTAATATAATAATATCTGAGCATCCGAGCACTAAGTCAAATATCTTGGATCCAGCAAAACCGCAGAACGAGGTTTTTCCAAAACCACCTCTTTTTACCCTCTTGCCTGATGGCAAACAAGCTGTTTTTTTGAAGTGTGTGATGCCAAATAAAACTGAGCTGCTTAAGCCTAAATTAGTCCAAAATAGTACTACTTATCAAAATATACAGCCAAAGATCCCTGAAGGGACACCACAAAAAATATTGCTGAAAATCTTTAACCCTGTTTTAAATGTGACTGCTGCTAATAATCTGTCAGTAAGCAACTCTGTATTCTCATCGCAGAAAGACAATGTATCATCTAATCAGACTGCAGGAGGAGAGCAAAAAGAGCCAGACTCTTCTAGAGATGCCTTACCCTTCTTAATAGATGATATGATGCCAGCAAATGAAATTGTGGTAACTTCTACTGCAACATCTGAATCTTCTGAGGAACCAGTACATGCCAGTGACCATTCAGAGGCCAGGGTATTGAGGTGTAAAACAAATTGTACAATTGGGAGAAGCTTTAATAAACAAAAGACTTCACCCCAAAATTTTTCAAGAATAAAAACTCATGTAAGAAGTAAAGACTCTGAAACTGTCAGTGTATCTAGAAACAGAAACTGTAAACGAAAGTGTAAGGATAGTTACCAAGAACTTCCAAGAAAAACATCATTACATAGAAAGTGTAAAGAAAAGATTAAACCTGAAGATGTCCACGAATCATTTGGATTCAGCCGACCTAGGCTTTCAAAAGATTCAGTCAGAACATTGCGACTTTTCCCCTTTAGTTCCAAACAGCTTGTGAAATGTCCTAGGAGAAATCAACCAGTTGTAGTTTTGAATCATCCGGATGCAGATGCACCAGAAGTAGTAAATGTAATGAAAACGATTTCCAAATTTAATGGACATGTACTTAAGGTTTCATTGTCAGAAAGAACTATCAGTGCTTTACTGAAACCAGTTTGTTGTAAGCCTTCTAAAACAACTTGTGATTTTTCCAAGAGGCACAAAACATTTAAACCTATTAGTTCTGTGAAAGAAAGATTTGTACTAAAACTAACACTCAAAAAGACAAGCAAAAACAATTATCGGATTGTGAAAACTACCTCTGAAAATGTTCTGAAGGCTAAATTTAACTGCTGGTATTGTGGAAGAGTATTTGACAATCAGGATGCTTGGGCTGGTCATGGGCAGAGACATTTAATGGAAGCTACTCGTGATTGGAATATGTTAGAGTAGTTTAAATTACCAAGGAAATGAAAAAATTATCTTAGGAGAAAACGATGGATTTAATTACCTTAATTTGGACGTTTTCTACTTCAATATTGTTCCTGAAGCTAAACATTTCAAAAGTGACTATTCCATAGAGGAGAAAAGGTTTTATGTGTGATGTTTGAAAATGCTATTAGTGCGCACATAAGTTTTGAAAGAAATTCATCACAGCACTGATGTATCTTGATTTGATTTTTTAAAAAATGTGTTCTTGGGAAGTTAAGGCTAAAGGAAATTTTGATAAAAATGTTTTCCCAATTTAGTTCTTCAGTGACTTGGTAATGGCTGACAGCCCCATCCATTCCTTCTCTTCTTCCACCAGCCTTATGAATCTGATAAGTATAGTTTCTCTGTAGAGCTCTTTCACCATGGAACTGAAGGAGTTTCACATCATTTGTGAGGATATATTAAGAGAGCTTGGGTAAAGAACTTACTCTACATCTACTAAACGTATAGTTCTTTTGAAGGGTATAGGTTTTTTTGAGAGTATATTTAATTCAGTACAGGACAATTCATAACATTCGAAGACAGTTTTTGATAAGTAAAATTTTTTTTTCCTCTCATAAGCTGTGGCCTATGTCAGAGATTGTAACACTCTTCCTTGCAAGGTGATTTTCTAAATGGCAATCTGATACATTGCAGTAGATGGGTAGCCTTGAAAGAATTAAACTCTCTAGGTCTAGGATGAAGTTCAGTTAAAGAACTTGAACACTTCTGTTGATTAAATTCTCCAGTGGTCCCCTTACCTAGAATTATGATTATTTGACTTAAATTGTTTATCCCCCATAAACCAAATTGCCAATTTTTTTTTGGTTGCCATCCCTTTAAAAAGAGTGGAACATAGAAACACTTTCAAGGGAATGGTTTTTCTCAAAACCTAAAAATTCTACAGAAATAATATTTTGAAGCGAAATTAGTAAAGTGAGAAATATTTTTGTATTTAATTAGTGTCTGAACATCTCCACATTGAGACAAACCATTTTTGTTAGCATCTTTTCAGTATGACATAACCCAAAGCAGATTATTTACTTTCTGTTGGCGGTTGAAAATAAGCATTAATAATGTATTCAGTGGCGGTGCATAAAACTTCAGGATGGATTCCTAAGGGACATATCCAACAGAGGTAAAAGTTTTAAAATGGATATATTCATGGCGAGGACAGAATCATCAGTTTAAACTTACCACTTTGTATGTTTGGATCAAGTTTTGTTGGTTAATTGGATAATGGAGTCCTTTTACTGCAAAATTATATACTATATAATTTTTTGTTACATTGTTACTACAAGTATTATGACATTTTCATTGGTTGAATGAAAACTTCAGGGCTTCTTTTCTGTACATAACAAAGAATTTAAACCTTGTACATATTTTTGTAATTTTCAGTTGTGTAAATTTTGCACAGAAAGTTTTAGATATAAAAGTTTATTTTTTTTTCAATTTAGTTCTGTGCATGCACTAATAAAACTGGTTGTTTAATTTAAAAGGAATATATAAGACTTTACCCATGTTATTTTCTTGGTTTTTATTTCAGAAGTAGAATTTTCTTTTTTCGTGTAAATTCATTTTTTTCAGGGATTGAACACTATTATTAGCAAGTGCCTAAAAGATGTGAAACAGTTTACATATTTCAACTGTAACAGTAGGTCCCAAATGGGCCCATTCCCCAAATAATTTTATTTTAAAGAAAGCCATATAGATGCTTTAAGCTAATCTTGCTATGCACATTATACATGTACTGTTTTTGTGCATTTTGTCTACTTTCTTAGTGAAGTATTTTTTGTATAAAACCTGTTAAAAGTGTGTTTCTTAAATTGAGCCTAAGAATGGAGTTGATTGGAAATACACAGTGTATATTAATAATGTGTATGGTGTTTAAAGGATGGTAAGCATTGTTAATTTCATTGTTAATGGATGTTTTCAATTAAATTCCAGTTTGTGTTTATACAATTTTTCTGCTGTGCTAAAATTGAATGGGAATTTTATTCTATTAGGAAATAATTTAGATTTAAAAGGTTTGTTTTCTAGTGGGCTATGCAAAATAAAGTATGGGCTTCTCCTCCCCCCCCCCCCCCAAATCACAGGGGAAATTTGAAATTTTGTTTGAGAAGGGCAACACCATAATTTTACTATGGTTGTGCTTATAAGGAAACCAATAGAGAGGTTTATACCCTTCAGTAACCTAACAGGAATAAAATTGAAATGCTCTGTTATGAATAGATCTATTACGATGCATCACCCTCTGTGACTAGAGAAGAGAAAGAACAATCTTGCCAATGTTTGTAGCACTATAAAAATATATTTCAAATACCATATGGTCTCACTTATATATGGAATCTAATGAACAACATTACCTGAGGGACAAAATAGAAATAGAGGCATGGTTACATGGAACAGACTGACAGCTCTCAGAGGGGAAGGTGGTTGGGGGACTGGATGACAGAAGGTGAAGGGTTAACCTCCCTCCTGCACCTCCCCACAAAACTATTTTATATATATATATATATATATTAGAGACCCGGTGCACGACATTCGTGTACTGGTGAAGGGGGGTGTCCCTCACCCCGTCCTGTACCCTTTAGCAGTCCGGGAGTTCTGGGGGATGTCCGACTGATGTCTTAGGCCCCATGGGGAGCAGGCCTAAGCCGCAGTCGGACATCCTTAGTGCTGCTGCGGAGGCGGGAGAGGCTCCTGCCACCGCTGCTGCGCTTGCTAGCCATCAGCCCCGCTTGTGACTGAGTGGCGCACTGACCACTAGGGGGCAGCTCCTGCGTTGAGCGTCTGCCCCCTGGTGGTCAGTGCATGCCATAGCAACCAGTCATTCTGCTGTTTGGTCAATTTGCATATTACCCTTTTATTATATAGGATACACACACACACACACACACACACACACACCACATAGACATAGACAACAGTGTGGCCAGAGCTGGAAAGGGAGGTAGGTGGTGGTGGGCAAGGGGGGATAAATGAGGATGGAAAGAGACTGCTTTGGACAATGTGCACATGATGCAATGTGAGGATGATGTTTTGTTGAGTTGTACACTTGAAACCTGTATGGTATTGTGAATCACTGTCACCCCAGTAAATTTTTATTTTTATTTATTTTTTAAAAGTATATTTTATTGATTTTTTACAGAGAGGAAGGGAGAGGGATAGAGAGTTAGAAACATTGACCAGCTGCCTCCTGCACACTCCCTACTGGGGATGTGCTCGCAACCAAGGTACATGCCCTTGACCGGAATCGAACCCGGGACCCTTCAGTCCGCAGGTCGACACTCTATCCACTGAGCCAAACCAGTTAGGGCCCCAGTAAATTTTTAAAAATACATCTCAGAACAGCCAAACCAGTAAAAATAAATAAATAAAATCTAATGTTGAGATACATACTTTTTACTTAAAGTTTTAAAAGCCATTTAAAAACACTTCATGCCTCAGGTACTCTAGGTAGTCACTTTTTCTGACTTTGTGAACATGGATTATTCTGAAGGAGCCAAACCTTTTTGGAGCTACTTTATTGCCAGAGGAGATAATTCAGAAACAAAACCCTCTATCCTTTTCTCTCTGCTGAAACTGAGCTAAAGATGCCTTTACAAAATATGATATTCAGTAGTTTGAGGTACTTATCTACACTAATAAAAGACAAACATGCAAATTGACCATACCTTTGCTATGCCTTAAGCCACGCCCACCGGCCAATCAGAGTGATTATATGCAAATTAACCCAACCAAGATGGCAGCCAGCAGCCACGGAGCTGGAGTGAGCAGGAGGCTTGGTTGCCCCAATGATGGAGGAAGCCAAGCTTCCCGGCCGGCTCTGAGCTCCACTCAAAGCAACAAAGTTTCAATTATAGAAGGTAAATAAACCCCAGATACCTGCTTTCAGCCGGCCGTGGCCACGGAGCTGGAGCAAGCAGGAGGCTTTCCCTCCCGCCCGCCCTGGCTGGCGCTTAGCTCCTCTCAAGGCTACAAAGTTTCAATTATAGAAGGTAAATATATCCCAGAATAAAAAAAAAAAGGCTGGGAGCTTCCGTTGCCGGAGAGCTTGGCTAGCCTGCAAACGGCCATCAGCCCCTCACCCAGGCTGGCCAGGCACCCCAGTGGGGACCCCCACCCTGAAGGGGGTGTGACCAGCTGCAAACACCCATCAGCCCCTCACCCAGGCTGGCCAGGCACCCCAGTGGGGACCCCCCACCCTGAAGGGGGTGTGACCAGCTGCAAACACCCATCAGCCCCTCACCCAGGCTGGCCAGGCACCCCAGCGGGACCCCCACCCTGATTCAGGACACCCTTCAGGGCAAACCAGCCGGCCCCCACCCATGCACCAGGCCTCTATCCTATATAATAAAAGGGTAATATGCAAACTGACCCTAACAGCAGAAAGACTGGGAATGACTGGTCACTATGATACATACTGACCACCAGGGGGCAGACGCTCAATGCAGGAGCTGCCCCCTGGTGGTCAGTGCTCTCCCACAAGGGGAGCTCTGCTCAGCTACAAGCCAGGCTGATGGCTGCCAGTACAGCGGTGGTAGTGGGAGCCTTTCCCACCTCCTCAGCAGCGCTAAGGATGTCCGACTGCAGCTTAGGCCTGCTCCGCACTGGCAAGTGGACATCCCCCAGGGGCTCCTGGGGGTGCCAGAGTGATGTCTAACTGCTAGCTTAGGCCCAATTCCCCAGAGATCGGGCCTAAACCAGCAGGTGGTCATCCCCCAAGGGGTCCCAGACTGCGAAAGGGCACAGGCCCGTCTGAGGACCCCGCCCCCCCCACCCCCTGAGTGCACAAATTTTTGTGCACCGGGCCTCTAGTTATAACAAGAAGAGTAAGTTTTATTTTTGCAATCTAACATGAATCAGGAATTTGTTTTATTTTCCCCCCTATTTATCCATCTCCATTGAAATATGGGCCTCACTCACTATTTGGCACTAACTTCAAAAAAGTTTTAAATTTTTTTAAAAAAAATATTTTTATTGATTTCAGAGAGGAAGGGAGAGAGAGAGAGAAACATCAATGGTGAGAGAGATTCGTTGATTGGCTGCCTCCTGCACGCCTCACACTGGGGATCAAGCCCACAACCTGGACATATGCCCTGACTGGGAATCGAACCGTGACCTCCTGGTTCATAGGTCAACGCTCAACCTCTGAGCCATGCCGGTGGGGCAAAAAAAGTTTAATTTTTAAAGAGTTTACCATCTTCTAAGCATTCAGTAGTACAGAGTCAAATGTAATAATTTTTTAATGAAATACTAGTGGCCTGGTGCACATTGAAAGGCAATTAATTAGAAGAAAGATTTGTGCGGTAATTATGTTACTGTGAAAAATTACATGTCAAAATAGTATATATAATATAGTATAAAATTAAAATACAAAATATTTTAATATTGCAATTCGCCCTTTATAATAGAAGTGTCAGATGAAAGAAAAGTAGTAAAATGTATGTGAAAATAATATATAAATTGATTAATAAATAAACAACGGTATAAAAACAAACATGACATAAAAATGATGATTGATAAATTGATTAACATGATGCAACAACAAAGATGATATAAAAACAACAAAAATGATATAAAAACAAAAACATAAAAAACATGATATAACAACTGGTAAAAACAATGGTAAATTGATTAAACAATATTTGGTCTTCTGATACATTCTATCAATGACGTCGGCTTCTTTCGTCTTCAGAGGTATGTTGTACCAATAGTTGATCTTAAGACATATTCTGTTGACGATGTCGCTTTCTTTCAGCTTCAGAAGTACGTTGTGCTAATAGTTGGTCTTCAGATATATTCTGGTGTCACATGTGATTGGCACCAGCGAGAGCTTTATATGTATTGCGCATGCATGAGTCAATGTTTATTTTTAAACTAGTGGCCTGGTGCATGGATTCGTGCACATTGAAAGGAAATTAGAAGAAAGATTTGTGCGGTAATTATGTTACTGCAAAAAATTACATATCGAAATAGTACATACAATATAGTATAAAATTAAAACACATGTGTGATTGGTGCCAGCAAGAGCTTTATATGTATCATGCATATGTGAGTCAATGTTTGCTTTTAAATTGTCAGTGCGTGTCATGTACTGGCTGGTCAGTCAGTTGGACGGTCGATGAATAAATCGTGATGTGGTTCATGTTGAATGTCAACAAAAACAACCAAATTCACGATCAACAATGACAGATTGAAACACGCGTGCGATTGGTGCCAGCAAGAGCTTTATATGTATCGCACATGCACTAGTCAACATTTATGCACCTCTGTACCTCTGCACTTTACTTCCGCACCTCCTCTGAGTCTCAGTGTGCTTTTCTCTTTCCTTCTAGTTGTAGAATTTCCACTCAGCCAGCCTTCCTATGGTTCTGGATGATGTCCGTTTTGTCTTTTAGTTGTATTTTTGAAGTGGTTGTGCGAGGCAGCAATTTCCAGTGTTTACCTATGCCGCCATCTTGGTTTCTCCTAAAAGGTTTTGTATACCTTCATTTCTTTCCTCCCTGCTGTTATTGTCACAAATATCTTTACAAATTGTGTGCCCATCAACATAGATTTATAATTATTTATGTATTTGTCTTTCAAATTAGGAAGGGGAAGTTACAAATAATACATTTACTCTGTCTTTTATGTTTACCTGTGCTGGTATTTATATTTATCTTTATTCTGTATTCTTTGTGTGGGGTTTAAATTACTATCTAGTGTCCTTTCATCCAGAAGGACTCCTGTAGCTCTTTTTCTTTTTTGTAGGACAGGTCTACTAGCAATGGGAATTATCTGACAATTTCTTAAATTTTCCTTTTTGAAGGGTAGTTTTGCAGATATATCTTTGTTGGTGTTCTCTTCTCCCCCCTCCCCCCCCCCCCCCCAATATAGCACTTTGACTCATCTCACTGCCCTCTGGCATCCATGGTTTTTGATGAGAAATCACCTGTTAATCTTATTAATGTGATGTGTCACTTCTCTCTGGCTGCTTTCAGGGTTCTCTCTGTCTTTCTTTTTAAATTGATTTTTAGAGAGAGAAGATGGGAGAGAGAGAGAGAGAGAGAGAGAGAGAGAGGAGAGAAACATTGATTTGTTGATCCACTTATGCATTTATTGGTTAATTCTTTTAAAAATATTTTTATTGATTTCAGAGAGGGATAGGGAGAAAGAGAACACCAATGATGAGAGATAATCATTGATCGGCTGCCTCCTGCATGCCCCCAACTGGGGATTGAGCCTGCAACCCGGGTATGTGCCTTGACCGGAAATCAAACCATGACCTCCTGGTTCAAAGTTGATGCTCAACCACTGAGCCACATTAGCCAGGCCATTGGTTGATTTTTGTATGTGCCCTGATCAGGGATTAAACCTGCAACCTTGGCTTATCTAGATGAGGCTTTAATCAACTGTACTACCGGCCAGGGCCTCTTTGTCTTTCAACAATTTGATTATGATATGTCTGGTGTGCTTCTCTGAGTTTATTGTAGTTGGAGTTCCTAGGGCTTCATGGATTGGTAGATTAATGTTTATCATCAAATTCTTTCTGATGCATTCTTTTTCTTCTCTGAGACTCACATTATGTATATGCTATTCTTGATGGTATTCCACAAATCTCTGAGGCTCTGTTCATTTCATGTTTGTTTTTTCCTTCTGTTCCTCACACTGGTGTCAGTTGACCTATCTTTAAGTTCATGGATTCTTTCTTCTGCCTTATCAAATCTGTTAGTGATCCCCTCTAGTGAATTTTTCATTTCAATTATTGTATTTTTTAACTCTATGTAGACAGTTTTAGAATTAAAAGTTTTTCCATAACTTCTATTTTATATATTCTATTCGGTTGAGACATCATTCTCTTACTTTCCTTTTTGTCTTTAAACTTGGTTAGTCTCCTTTAGCTCTTTGACTATATTTAAAACTAGAAGCCCACTGCATGGGATTCGTGCACTGGTGGGGGGCGTGGCCTGCAGGGATCAGCCAGCTGTGGGAGTAGCCACTCATCCCCATCAGCCAAGCAGTGCTCCCACTGTGGGAGTGCACTGACCACCAGGGGGCAGCTCCTGCGTTGAGCGTCTGCCCCCTGGTGGTTAGTGTGCATCATAGTGACTGGTTGACCAGTCGTTCTGGTCATTCTGCCATTTGATCACTGGACTTTTATTATATAGGATACATTAAAATTTTTGATAGAAAATCCAGAGGTTGGGCTTTTTCAGGATATTTCTCTTGATTGCTTTTCCCTCTGTAGGGGCAATACTTTCCTCTTTCTTTGCAGCCTTGTAAATTTTTTGTTTATTTTTGAAAACAGGTCATATAAGATGTTATAATGTAGCAACTCTGAAAATCAGGTACTCTACCTTCCTGTTCCCTTCCCCAGGGTTTGTTGTTGCTGCTTATTGTAGTCGTTTTTTGTTTGTTATTAACCTTTCTGAGTTAATTTTTAAAGTCTCTGTTCTTTGTCATGTGTGGCCCTTAACATTTCTCTTATTTTAGCTTAATGATCAGCTGCTAATTGGACAGAGATTTCCTTAAACACCCCAAATTAAAAAAAGTCACCCAGTGTTGGCCAAGACTCTCTATTTGTGCTTTTTTGGTGCATCTTTAAAACTCAGCCAGGGACTTTACAACTCTGCCTTAGGCTTCACTTCATATTTTGGCACAGTCTCCCGGTCAGAGATGACAGCTTGTGGCCTTCTCAGGTCTTTGCGTAGCACACATATGGCCCTGGCATTCATGTAGCTTTCTAGATTCCCAGGAATATGTTGGAGCTTTGCAAAGCCCCTTTGGACATCTCATTCCCCAGTTTTTTAGTTAGTCTGTTGTTTGCCTGAATGGTTATCTATCACTTTAGGCAACAGCAACTAAAACATTTACCTGTTATTCTTTTTAGAATTTCCACTATATAGCATCTTTAGCTCTGGGCCAGCTTCAAGTCAGACTAAAGCCAGTCTTTTAGGAAGTTACCAGACCTAAATGGTGAATTATCTCTTTTAGTACATTCTAAATGATTGTATTGTTTTTCTAGAAGGAAGAAAGAGCTTTTCAAACAAAATTTATAAAACCCATTTGTATTTTATTTTATTGTAAAAAATGTATATGGATTATATTAGTTTCCTGGTGTTATCATAATGAAGTACTACAAGTGGGGTGACTGAAAAAAAATAATTTATTGTCTTCCAGTTCTGGAGACTAGAAATCTGAAATCAAGGTGTCAGCAGGGCCATGTTCCTTTTGAATCCTGTAGAGAAATCCTTCCTTGCTTCTTAGCTTCTGGTGTTTACTGGCAATCTTCAGCACGCCTAAGCTTGTAAGTGCATCACTTGAATCCTCTGTCTTCACATGGCGTCTTCCCTGGGTATCTCTTCACTTTGTCTTCCCTCTGTGTATGTCTGTGACTGTGTCGAAATTTACCCTTTTTATAAGGAAACCAATCATATTGGATTAGGGCCCACCCTAATAACCTACATCTTAAAGATCCCATAAGGTCACATTCTGAGGTACTGGGGGTTAGGACTTCAACATATCCTTTTGGGGGAATACAGTTCAATTCATAACATAAATAGTCATCATAACAGTATATGACATTTAAAAATACAGTTACCTTTACAGGTGAGTCTGAGTTACTCATTACCTTCTAGCCTTTCAAAATCCTTTCAGAGATTGCTATATTATCCAGTGATCAAGTATATTCCTCATTTAATTATTAGGTTTATCTTAGTTTATCATTTCAATGCTATCTAAAGTCAAAGTATATTCCATTTCTGGAATGAGCTACGATCTTGGATAGGGCAGCTCATAATGGTACATCTTTTATTCCTTAGTGTTCATCAGTCTGCTTTCCTGCCCTTGTTCTCTGGGATGTTCCCTAGGCTTTTAGTCTAGTTTTGTCCTCATCTTACTTTGAACTGCATATCAAGTTTAGGGTCCATATAATAGACATGCATATCAAAGAGGTATAATTATTTTAATAAGCAAAGTTAACAACATAATTATGGACAGAAACTTCTAGAAAGGTCATTTCTATATCTCCCACAGTTGGGAGTACTCACAAAAGAGAACCATCACACCCCCCTTATCTGTACTTATAACTAAACATTGTATTTTATTTTCTACAAATAAAAATTATAACCAAGACATAATTGTCGAGCATTGGCAAGTAGATGTCTTGGTTACATTAGTGCACCAGTGAGCAGTGTACTGGCCTAAATTTCCAGCTGCTTTGTTTTATCCAAGATTACTTTTTTTCTTACTTTGAGAATGGAGTGTTATTTTCTTACATGATTGAAAATACTTTACACATGTTTCTTTTAAATAAAAACATTTATTAGGAGAATATTAATAGCACGATAACTCAATCTCACCAGATATTAACAGTTCATTAGGTCAGGCAATAGAACAAGTCCATGTGAGCTTCTTCTAAGGAAATGGATGACCACTCCAATAGCTACCTCCATCTTCTATTTCATTATGGGATGATTCATCATCCAAAATATGAAGCTTGGGGACTTTTTCTTAAAAGGAGAAGTAGAGCAAATATCCGAAGCAATGATGTTGACCTCCTTTTTAAAAAAATTATGAAACTTTAACGGCATATTTCAGTCTTGTGGAATCCTTTGTGTTATTTTGACTGTCGATAAGAACCAGGGGACTATGTTGATGATTCTTGATAATTTCAGCAACACTTCCAAAATACTAGAGCAAGAAAACATAGATGAATTATAAATTGGTATTTATGTTAACTTTGAGCTTCACTCCCCCCATCTCCTTCCATTTCCTCAAATTAGTCAAAGTTATGGGGTCCCAGCTGACATACTACCAAAAAAATGTCTAATTTAACAAAGATTGTAACCTTCAAGGTGGCAGACCTTGGCCTTTCTTATATTTAATAATACTAAAAACACAGCCGACAGATTCAGTTTATTGAGTTATGATATAATGTTTTACTATTGTCTTTATTTAGTGTAAAACTCATACAGTAAAATTTTCTACATTATTCACTGTTAGGTTGCAGTCTTAGATACAAGGACTGATGTAATAAATTAACCTTAGAATTTAGTGTCAGGAAAGACTTATTTCCAAGATTCATGTTTTTGTTTTCTTTTTTGAATGAATAAGGAAAGCTTTATAAACCATCATATTTCTATTTTTGCTTCAGTGCCCAGTAATTCTAGAGCTAAATTGGTGCCTAATTGACAATAGAATTTCATGTTAGGTTCTTACCATACATACTTATTTTTCTACATACTAATTCCGAGTCTCTGGATCTTAAGGTTGTATTTTTCTGAAAAAATGATCAGTGCTCTTTTTTGTTTATACTAATTCAGTATATTCGAGATATTCATGCATGTATGGTAACTGAAAATCTCATGATCAATAAAATACAGCAAACAGATGTCAGAGCTATAAAACTACTCAATACTGTATCTATACAATATTAAAACAGTTGCATAGCCCTGGCTGGTTTTGCTCAGTGGATAGAGCTTCAGCCTGGGGACTGAAAAGTCCCAGGTTCAATTCTGGTCAAGGGTACATGCCCGAGTTGTGGGCTCGATTCCCAGTAGGGGGCGTGCAAGAGGCAGCCAATCAATGATTCTCATCATTGATGTTTCTATCTCTTTCTCCCTCTCCCTCTTCCTCTCTGAAATCAATAAAAATATATATTAAAAAAACACACAAAACAAACAAAAAACAGTTGCATAAAAACGTTAAACTGTTCATCAATTGGTTACTTTTTCTACCCATATATATCCAAACACAAATACAGACAGACAGACTTTTCAAAGTATCCTCATGATTCACATCATGTAACTAAAATTTTCACTTTCCATTCAGATGTTCAGTATATCGGAGAAATAATCTTTTTTATTATAGATCATTTCAGTAAGAGTTTTAATGGACTCTGTTAATACTTCCAGATGCCATTATAATAATACTAGAGGCCCGGTGTATGAAATTCATGCACTGTGGGGGAGGGGGAGAAGGGGGTCCCTCAGCCAGGCCTGCACCCTTTCACAGCTTTATAAACCATCATATTTCCGCCTAAGCTGGCAGTTGAACATCCCTCTCGCAATCCAGGATCCCTTGCACCTTACTGCCTGCCTGCTCACTCCTTACTGCTTGGCTCACTGCTCCTTAGTGCTGTTGCAAAAGCGGGAGAGGTTCCCGCCACCACGACTATGCTTGCCAGCTGTGGGCCTGGCTTCTGGCTGAGCAGCGCTCCCCCTGTGGGAGTGCACTGACTGTCTGCTCCCTGCATTGAGTGTCTGCTCCCTGGTGGTCAGTGTGCATCATAGTGACCAGTCGTTCTGGTCATTCCGCTGTAACGGTTGCTTAGGCTTTTATTATATAGATACTACTTATTTTGGAATCCATAGGCTGGATATGTGGGGAGAGAGATAAAGCTCTGATCTATCCATTCTGAGGTAGGGATGAAGATTTTTTAGGGCAAGAGAAATTCCTGTTTACCAGAGTTTCCTAGCAGAACAGTAAGTCCAGAGCCCCTCTTAGAGCTTAGTTTTTATGAGAGGATTTCAGGACCTCTAAAGAAGACAGCTCCCTCACCCACCCTTAAGCCTCATAGAAGTACTGGACCCCTAGAGAGGCTTTAGAATGAAACCACCTGTCCAAAGACACTCTATTTTACTAGGGTCATCACCATTTCCTAGCACTGATTACTACTATGAGGAGCATTTATTTTAAAAGATTTGTCAGATAAAGTTGCAATGAGAACAAAGGTTTTTTTGTGAGTAGGGAAAAGCAGACAGTTCTGTTAGAGTGTAACCGAGGTTAATGATGATGCAATCTGCATTTCAAAACCCGACTTTAATCTCAATTAGTTTGTGTTTTCAGATTCAAGAGTTTTGCATTTTCTAACTATCTGACACTTTATTAAAAGCAAAATAAAATCCCAAACTATAAAAACGCCTAGAAGAAAACATAGGAGAAAATCTTCATGAGATTGTATTTGGCAATGATTTCTTGGACATGATACCAAAAACACAGGCAACAAAAACAAACTTAAACTTAAAAACTTCTGTTCATCATAGGTCACAATTAACAGAGTGAAAAATAACCTATGGAATGGAGGAAAATATTTGCAAATCGTGTATCTAGAAAGGGGTTAATATCCAGAATAAGGAAGAACTCCTACAAGTCAACAATAAAGACCAAATAACTTGATTTAAAAATTGGAAAAGCACTTGAATAGACATTTCCTCAAAGTTGACATACAAATGGCAAACGAACATGAAAAGATACTCAGATTCACTAACCATCAGAGAAATGTAAATTAAAACCACAAAGATCACTCATTTAGGATAGCTATTGTTTAAAAACACACACCAAATAACAAGGGTTGGCAGGGATGTGGAAAATTTGGATTCCTTGTACACTGTTAGTAGGATTAGGAAATGATGCAATCACTATGGAAAAGAACATGGCAATTCCCCCCAAAATTAAAAATAGAACTACCATATGACCCAGCAATCCCACTTTTGGATATATGTCCAGAAGAACTGAAAGCAGAGTTTTGAAGAGATATCTGCACACCCATGTTCATAGGAGCACTATTTACAATAGCCAAGAGGTAGAAGTGGCCCAAATGTTCATCAACAGATGAATGAGTAAATGGAATGTGGTATATAATACAGTAGAATACTATGTAGCCTCAAAAAGAAAAGAAATCCTAAAAAAAAGAAAAAAAGAAATCCTGTCACGTGCTACAACATGGGTGAACCTTAAGGATATTATGCCACGTGAAATAAGGTAGTCACAAAAGAACAAACATTGTATGATCCCATTTATATGAGGTATCCAAAGTAGTCAAATTAATAGAAATGAAAAGTAAATGGTGGTTGCCAGGGATTGAGAAGAGTGGGAAAGGGGGGTTTTCAATGAGTATAGAGTTTCAGATATGCAAGATAAAAAATTGTAGAGATCTGTTTCACAACGTTGTAAATATAATTAACACTGCTAGACTGCACACTTAAACATTTTATTATATGTGTTGGGTGGTTTTTTAAACCATATTTAAGGAAAAGCAAAATAAAGAATACACTTATTGGCATATGACCCTATGAGTTCATTTTACAAATGCTATTCTCCTGCCTGTAATCACTCCATCCACAAATCAGTTCATTCATTTAATAAGTAGTTATCAAGCATCCACTGAAGCTAACCTTGTGCTATGGTTCTAGAAATATAGAGATGAACAAGACATAGTGTAGTCCCTGGCCTCATCTAGTGGAGAAGAGACACTTAAGAAGTTATGATACTTTCTAACAATTACTATCTAACAAGTGCTGGGTTTGGAATGGGTGTAGTTATTTCTGAAGGAATACTGAATTTAAACATTTTTGAACTTTTAAAATACTATTTTCTCTGCTTAGATTGTTCTTTCCACTTCTCATCCATTCCAATTTTCATTCCATTTATTCAAATCAGTGCATCATTCAAGACCAGAACAAGTATCATTCCCTTTCTGACCCCTTATAGGAACAAACTGGCTAAACGGAGATATAGTAAGCATTGAGTTTGGTACAGATTAAAGAGGAGTTGAAGTTCATGTTTGGTTAGTATTCAAGAAAGACCTACTGTGATGCTTTTTTCTTACAGCAGGCTCAAAAGCTCATTCTGGCCCAAGGGTATAGTCTAATGCTTCAACTCAGGTTATTGCATCTCTTCTGATCCTTCCCTGGTCATCCACCTTGGTACTATATTTGAATTGAGATCCTAATTCTTGACATAGGAGCTTTGGACATTGATCTTGATTTTTACAACATTAATTCTAGTTGACATTTCAACCTTGATTTTTATGTTTCCTGGACTAAAATATTGAATCAGACTGAACCCACTAAATAACAGGGTAAAAGGACCAACATGTAGTCTTAACATCATATCAGTCTTTCCTCCTTTCTGTTCTCTCATAGGATATGCTGCCCCAATATAGTACTTTATCTATTTATAACATGTGTGCAAGCTTTGGACCAAGTACTCTTAGATCCTTTCTCCTCATCTCTAGCATCTAATATATGATGCTAGTATGATGCCATTGAGTTCAATATGTACTTATAGAGTTGTATTAAAAGAGAAATTACTGACCTCTTCACCATTTTTTTTCCTGCCCAAAGCATACTGTTTTGTTGCTTCAATAAATCGCACAGGGATATTGTATACTCGCTTATTAAAAAATACAACTAATGTATATGGCTGTTTGGAATCGTGACCAGAGCTTTTCCGAATGAGAAATGATCCATCCTGTTTATTAAATGAAAAGCATAATTATGGTTAGTATTACTTACACTTTCACAAGTTAGAAATAAGTTTATGAAAAATAGCTATGTTATATTTAAAATACAAGTATTTATAAGTTTTTCTATTGTTGATAAGTTTGTTTTATTATTTTCCAAGAAAACACTTGAGTAAACTACATACTTATACAAAAATAAACATATTTTATACTTATATATGCTTATATATACTTATAAAAAATCCTGAAATCAATGCACTAAATAAAGATATTATGTTTATAGAATTTAGAAATGTGTGAAGGGACACATTAAGATCAAACCTAGAGGGCACTCTTGAGCTAGGAACTATGTCCACAAGTTGCCTATGAATAAAAAAACGTTATCAAACAAATTTTACTCAAAAGTACTTGTAAGAAGAAAGTAGAAATTGTGGGTAAAAATATTTCAGCTGATAAAAATTGTCTCCTTCAAAACTTATATTGAAGCAGATAAAACTGTAACACAACATTCCAAATTGAAATATTTTATAAAATATTCTAAAATCATAAATTCAAAAATTATGAACAAAAGGACAAAAAACAGGAAGAAAAATGCAACAACAGTTGAACGAATTCTGAAAAGAAAATAGCCGGCTGGTGTGGCTCAGTCGTTGAGATTCGACACATGAACCAGAAGGTCACAGTTTGATTCTGGGTTAGGGTATGTGCCCATGTTGTGGGCTCGATCACCAGTAGGAGGTGTGCAGGAGGCAGCCAATCAGTAATTATTTCTCATAATTGATATTTCTATCGCTCTCTCCATCTCCCTTTCTCCCTCTGAAATCAATAAAAAAACATATTTTTTAAAAAAGATTTAAAAAAAAGAAAATAAAGAGAAAGACAAACCTGTCTCAGAAATTAAGAAACAATTACAGGATGCCCAAGGGACAACAGCTTCTGAGTGAAGATATGGAAAACACCAAGACAGAGAGGGGTGGGGGAGATTTTTAAAAAAGAAGTACAACAACAGGAGTGGTTGGAATGAAAGAGACAAAAAAGGTCCAAATGCATGTTATTTGAGTCCTTGAAGAAGAAAAACAAAACAATGAAACAGAACTATTCTTTGAGACTATAATTTAAGAAAACGTACTGGAAATAAGAGAAAACTTAAATCTATTTATTGAAAGGGCTTCCCTCTACCTGAAAAAATTGACCTGAAAAGCAACTCTCAGACATATTCTGGTAAAACTATTAAACTTTAAAAACAAAAAATGTACAGAGTTTTAGACTAAAATATCAAATTACAGATAAGGACAAGAAAATAACATTAGCATCAGGTAGAACAAGGCAATCCAGTGGAGCAACACTTAAGCCAAGGCTTTTATATCCAGCCAAGATTTCCTCCAGGTATCAGGCTATGAAAAACAGTTTTGAATGTGCAAGAATTCAGGGAATAATGTAAACACTGTCCTTCCTGAGAATACAGTACAAGGTGAGCTTCATCAAACAAAAGAGATAACTGGGAAAGCCAGCAAAGGGAATGATGGAAAGCATTTAATATATTTAATTGTAGAGTTAGGACTAAAACAAAGGTGGCACAAACAGTATGTAAATATTATATATTCTGACAAAGGGTGCAAGTGGAAAAAATGGCAGGGGAAAAGAGAAAGAAAGGGAAATTGGCACTTTAATCTTGGATTGTTCAAACCGTCCCTAGTGTTCCTACATGATTGGGCTTGGATGCTCCCAAAATCTCTTTCCAAGTACTTTGTGCCATCTTGACCTCAGCTTTTATCCCATGCTCTGGTCCAAAGTAGCCTGTTACTTTGCACTCCTGGATGGATCTCATGTAGCACCAAGCCTTTTAGAGATCTCCCCTGGAGCCTTCTTCTCTCTTACTGTAGGGAGAGCAGAGGAGCCTATGGATCCTTCGTGGCAATGAAAGGACAAGTAGAGATGAGATGGAGGAACAAAAAGGGAGATGCTTGAAAGAGAGGAGGGAATGGCAGGTCCTTCTGAGTAAGTAAAGAAAAAAGATCCCTGCATCCATAATTGTTGCAGTTATTTAATTAGCATATTATTAGGATGACAACTGTGCCTATTACAGGCTGAGGGCAGGATATGAGATTTTAAATGGCCAAACCTTGTTTGATCTGTATAATGCCTCTTCAGCAGACTTTCGATCACAGGCACCAGCATACCATGGCTTACAGTGAATGTCAGCTTCCTGCGAAATAGAGGGAATTGTTAAGCAAGAGATGGTCCTTCAAAGACACCATACCTTCTGTGCATGAATGACAGTCACATTTTGCCTAACTACATGTAAACCAGTATTTGTCATGAGTTTATGCTTCCTTTGATCAATCACAGAGTTATATAATTGATTTTTTTCCCCATTTGGCCTTAGCCGCTAACCTTAGAAATTGAACATAAGAACTAAGTCCTGCTAAATTCCTGAACCATTCATTCCTTTTCTCCCAAATAAGTTATGATCTCCCTTCCCATTGTGATCTCACTGTTTTTGCTTTGTGGAGTGCTTAACAATTTCAAAGTGTTCTCACAAATGTTATCTTATTTGCTTCTTGCAACTACTTTGAAGGCAAGGAGGATAAATGCTGTCATCCCCGATTTACATTTGAAAAAGCTTAGAGAGACTTGCCCAAGGACACAGAGATTCCCTGCTCTCTTTATAGACTATGCTGCTTCAGTGTTTTAGTATCATATGCCTCCACAGATCTTTCTGAGAAAATTACACAGTTTCAGTAGAAACTATGTGAGAGGAAGAACAATAGAAGGCAACACGTTTCTTTTCTAGTTTTGAAGAACCACAAATTGTTATTTAGGGTATCTAGAATACAAAATGGAACAACTGGAGAAAGGTCTTAATAACGGGAAAAAATGTATTCTGTACCCATCAATAAATGACAATTTAAAATACTCAAGCTTTACTCCAAACCCTCTCTTCTATGCCCTTTCTGCAGTTTACCGGTAACAATAAGAGTTCATTTCATACCTGTTCTGACACGCTGGAATTAGAGGAAAAGCTGGGTAATGGGCCATCCACAGTTGGGCTACCCGCTTCTGGAAACCCTAAAAGGGATTTGGAAAATCAATGGATCTCTGTTATTTCTTGAGCAGTAACTAAGCCCATACTTCAACACTATGGTGGTTGCTGCAGGGTACACACACACTGAAAAGTCACACACACACCCAAAAGCCTTAAGAGCAATGGTTCTCAAAGCATAGTCTGAGGCTGCAGGGAATCCCCAAGATCCTTTCAGGGGGTTTTCCATGTCTTTTTCAAATACAAAGCTCTGTGAAGCCCAGTTTTCTTCATATACTTCAACCAGAAAAGCGTAGTGCAGTAGATTGAATGTAGAGGCAGATAGGAGAGTCCAGTTGTCTCTATTATTCCAGACATTAGAGAGATTTAAACACATGTAAAACAATGCCACTCTCTCCATGAATTGCTTTTGTTTGGAAGATATAGTTATTTTTCATAAAAATATGTTATTTATGTTAACATGCAATGAGTTTAATGGATTACTAAATGTGTTTTAAATGTCTTTTAATGAATACATTCAATATCAATAGAAAGACATAAACTAAAGTTTTGGGGGTCTGATTTTAAGAGTGTTAAATGGTGCCAAGGCCAAAATGTTTGAGAATTGCTGCCATAGGCATAAATTCAGTCTAAGAGTGAAGACACATGAAATAGAGAAAATTCTTAGCTGGTGTTCATTCGTTCGTTCATTCATTCATTCATTCATTCATGATTATGTGCATGATCAAGGCATTGGGATTATACAAGTCAACAAAACAGCAAAATGCCCTGCCCTCCTGGAGCTTAGTCATAAGTGCTATGGAGAAAAATAAGCAGAGAAGGGGTTTGGAGGAAGCCTCTGACAAGTAGTATGTTTAAATACGCTGGTCAGGGGAGGAAGGCCTCACCGAGGTGACACTTGGGTAGGATCTGCAAATGGAGAGGGAGGAGGCATGTCCTATCCCAGGAAAGAATGTTTTAGGCAGAAGGAGCAGTAAGTGCAAGGCCTGGCATGTGTGAGGAAGAGAGAGGGGGCACTGTGCCCAGAATGCAGTGAGGAAAGGAGAGAGCAATAAGGGGTAAAGTCAGGCAGGAGGTGATAAAGGAACCAGGTTTGTGGGACCTGGTGGACCCCTGACATGACTTGAGCGTTCACAAGCATGGTATGGGAAGCTTTTGGAGGTTTTTGAACAGAGCGGTAATGGGACCTGCTTGTCTTTTAACAAGATCACGCTGGCTGCAGGGCTGGAAATAGAAGAGGGAAAGAGCAGAGAGAGGAAGCCTGTTCAGTATTCTGCACCCCAGGCAGGAGATGATGGTGGCTTGGAACAAATGGCATCAATGGAAGTAGTGAGAGTTGGATTCCAGATGTCATTTAAAGAAATAGCTGGAATGTGTTTAAAGCAAGCAGGTGAGGAGGTCAGGGTGACCAGAGAAACCAGAGCTGTCCTTAATTAAAAGGCAAAGTCTGCAGGAGAAATGGGTTTAGATACAATGAGTGCTTCCGATAAAAGTGTCCAAACGTTCACAGGAGACAGCAGGATGTTTAAAGTAACAGGAGGGAGCAGGAGGGGCTTGCAGGCCCAGCAAGGTGGGGCCTGAAGGAAGGGCCTGCTCTAGGGGTTGGGGAGGAGCCAAGGATGGTGGGCTCTCCCAAGACACACAGTACAAGATGTGTGGTGGCTCCTGCAGTCTGGGCATTTGGAGTTCTAGGCTGACATTTTCAGAAATATAAATATGTACCAGTTCTGTTCTGTTTTCCACATCTTAGCTCATTTTGTCCTCACATCAGCCTTTTGTGGGAGGAGCTGTTAGACCCATTTTGCAGAGGAGGCCCATCTAAAAAGAGGTTCTCATTGCTGCCATTACTCTCTTCCCCCATCCTCTGCTACCTTGCTATGTTTTTCTTTATAGCACGTTAGCATTTATTTGATGTTATGTAATTTATCTGGTTGTTTATTTTTTCCTGTCTGTCGCCTCCAGTAGAATAGAAGCTCCATAAGGGCAGGGACTCCGTTTTATTCGCTACTGTTATTCCCTGTGTCTAGAACAGCGCTTGGTACATGGCAGATGGCCAATAAACACTAGTATTTACCAATTGAAATAATGACTTTGGGTTGGAAACAATAAAAGGAATAATAAAGCTTTACACAATAAAACATAGAATTTCTATAGCCCAACTATTTTCACTTTGGGTTCAGAATTTTAAAAAAATTATATTTAGTATAAGTTTCATGTAAGATGAATACAAAATTAAATTACAAGCTAAAGATCTGATTTCTATTCAGTATAAATCCACAAAATTTTCTGATATAACAATTATTTTTTGTATTTAAATTTATTGAATCTTGATTATTTTGGAATATTTTCCAAATTACCCATGTAAGGTAGGATTCCCCCCCCCCTCCCCTACATTAAATAGAAAGCAAATCAAGGTTTGGGCAGTAATGTTCTACAGGCCTAACTTACCTGATTCATATATTTTTAGGGTGATGTAATGTTTGCCTTGGGAAAATTATCCAGATATTTTCCAAATCTTTTCAGGGTACCTTTTGTAGATCGATTTTGTGATCATTAAAATGTATGTTAGATTTAATTTAAATAGCTATTATTTATTGAGGACCTTCCATGTACCAAGCACTATACCAAGTACTTTCTATAAATTGTTTTAATCTTTTCATCTAAAAATGAAAAAGTAAAAATTATCTCAAATCTATCTACTTTTCAAAACAACTCTATGAAAAATATTCTTGGCCCCATTTTACAGATGAAACAAGCTGAAGGGGAGACCAGGATACTAAGATCCTCTAGTTGGAGGTGGCAATGTTGTGTTAGAACCCAGGTGATTCAGACAGGAAGATCCAGCCTGAACTATTACCTGATATTACTCTTCATGACTCCATAGTACTTACTTGGCAGAGGTATGGGTTTTTGGTGGACTTGTCTGAAAGGAAGAATTTAAAAATTAATTAAAGGGCAAAGCACAGGTGAATAAGTTTGACTTTCTGTTTACAGTGAACTCTCTATGAACACTCCCATCACCAAGGAATCAGCAGGAATTGCCAGTGAAACAGATCTAAAGGTAGGAGAGGCACCAAAACCTTCAAGATAAGAAAAATTGTTCCCTTTACTTTTGAAAAAGGAGGAGCCTTGACTAAGGCATTATATTTTAGTTAATTCCAATAGTTAACCTGAAAATTAGGTCTCTGAGGTTCTAAGCAGTTCTTTTATTTATTTATTTTTGGTGTCAGGAGTGGGATACAAAAGCAGTTCTTTTAACGTTGTTACCTACTTAAAAGCTGAACACCCTTTAAAACTTAATTGCAAAGCAATGACATGTCAGATCTTTACCAAGTGCCACAAGCGTGTGCCACTGTGTGGTGTAACCATGTGGGCATTAATGCCTGCAGCGACAAGCGGAAACTCGTTTTTAAAGGAAAGGATTCTTACTTCTGGGCAGGAGGAAGCACTGGTGACTGCATAGCTTCTTGTCTGTGACTAGACCCTCGGTGGCGTTCAGCAGGTACAGGTTTTTCTGTATCAAGAAAGTGCTCATATTAGAATTAGAGGGAAATGTCCGTCCCCGTGCCCAAACCTAGCAGTATCAACCGATAGGCACTGGATGTGGTCAGATGTCTTCCGATGAACATATTTTCATCAGGATGCTATCTGTTTGTGCACCTGTCAGTCTGGTGATGTGTTTGTGCCATTAGACCAGGACTTTCCTGCTCCCCAGTGTTACAGGCATACCCTACTGTGTGATTTCAGGCAGGAGACAGAGATGAGCAAGTTTTAGCTACCTACCTTCTGCTTTCTATGTGGCCCACACACAGGTGTTACCACATTAGTCTTCATTAGTCATAAGATGCGACTATAAGGAATTTCTTAATGATAAGTGGTAAAATATGACATTTTAAAAATGATCTACTCTTTTTGAAAAATTAATTCAGCAAATTCAAGGTTATCTCGATAGCAATGTTCATCTCTCGTACATTTCACCACGCTTTCTTGAGGGGGAGAGGAAGAGGAGGAGTTATAACTAGAGAAATGGGCACCACCCGAAATGTAAGAAATTTATGTTGATGCCCATCGTGAACTTGCAGCTGAGCCATTAATAGGTGTGATTATAAATTATGTGATGCTTTATCCTCCCTCGAGTTTGGTCTAGGGTGTGTTAAAATCTTGGTATGTCCATGGTGTGTCTCCTGCTTGGAAGAAGGTTGAGAAGTATGGCTCTCCTGTTATAGGAACCCACAAGGGATAAAAGTAGTAAGATTCTAAGCAGTCCTGGGTGTTGTGTGGTGCACTGAGACTCAGTCTTGGACCTCTGACGACCGTGCTTCAGGTTTGTGGCACATTACTCTAAGCTTCCATGGAGGTGTTTTGTTCACAACCTAACAACTTGGTAGTTTCAGAAGGAGAAATAATGAACCTATTAGGTCCCCACAGCCTTTGATCACACCTGCTTGGCCCTGCTGTCCTGGAGGCTGCTCCCCATTTTGGGTTTAGATGGCCATTGCCATGGTCTTGAAATGAGTCACTAAGGAGATGGCATGCCAACCTCCTGCACTGGGGACCCTTTGGGAATGAGGACATCTGAGCCGCATAGAACATGCCATGAGCCCTTGCTGAGGACAGCAAGGAATGGAAGGACGGCAAGGCAAAAGTATCAACGGAAAGGCAGACGAAAGCAAAACATCAGAAAGAGAGTGATACTTGGAAATAGCTCTTGGGGGAGAAAAGATGGGTGAGCCAATGTAAAAGCCTATTGAAGAAATTAATGATTAGAACAACTAAACAGACAGGGGAGTTGTAATGGACATTCAGAAAATGTCCACTGTCCATCCTCAAAGAAAACAGAACATTTTATGTAGATCTGCCCATATTAACTCAGGAAGTGGTGAGAAGAGCACTCCCTAAGCTTTAACAATAGTTAAAAGTGTGGAATCAGATGGGTGCAGAAATTTAACACTTATGTAGTATTTTAAATGTTGAGATTATGGATGATTCTTACTTCTTTCTGTTTTTCCCCCTAGGATTTTGCAAATACATTTTTTAAGTGGTAATGTTCTAATAAAAAGTAAATGTAAGGTTCTAGGGTTATGATAGAACAAAAAAGGGAAAGCATTTGAAGATGTATTAAGACAAACATTTGAACTCTGAAAACATTATTTTGAAAACTTAGCAAAAGGATTGGTTCACATCAACAGGTTTTTAAAAGTTTCATTCCTTAACCAAACAATTAGTCTAAGATACACGAGTGGCCCTGAGTTAGTCTTCCCACCAGTGGAAGGTGATGGCACTGCTTCTGGCAAGCATACCTGTCAGCAAGCAGACAGGTTTGAGGTGTGTAGTCTGCAAGCCACCCCACAGATGCTTCCCAGGCAAGCTGAGGTCCTGACCACTGCTACTCACTACTCATTGCAACGGGAGGGCTACTTTGTTTAGAAAATTGAGTTGTGCCCTGACCGGTTTCGCTCGGTGGATAGAGCGTCGGCCTGTGGACTGAGGAGTCCCAGGTTCGATTCCGGTCAAGGGCATGTGCCTTGGTTGCGGGCACATCCCCAGTGGGGGGTGTGCAGGAGGCAGCTGATCGATGTTTCTAACTCTCTATCCCTCTTACTTCCTCTCTGTAAAAAATCAGTAAAATATATTTTTTAAAAAAAGAAAATTGAGTTGCATGTTTACAGTTACCTTATAAATAATGACAGAATTTAGAAAGACATTTATATAGAAATCCTCAATTAAAAAGAGTTTTAGGGCCACACTCCTCCTTTAAAATAAGATAGATTTACCTTCACAAACACTTGAGGCATTCTGTTGAGAGGCAAGAGGAGTCTATTAAAAAAAAAAGGCAAAGATATTCAATACAGTTGAAGGTGGAAATAAAAGTCAAAGCAATATTATTGAAACAAGAATTTGAGGAGAACATTTCTCGGATGCAAAGCCATTCTTTTAGTCATAAAAACAACAATTAGAATGCACAGTCTCCAGTCTAAGCTTTGCATTTAAGTGACAGCTCACTGGAGGTGTCTCATGGGAGGAGCAACGTGGTCTTGGTGTTGGGCCTTCCCTGCTCTGTCAGTGGGGTTGATGGATAGCAGGACCCCCAGCAGCTGCTGGGCAGTAGCGCTTGTGCAGTGGGAATCCAGCACATGGCTTTTGTCTCAGGACCCACTGTCTCAGGGTTTGGTGGTTGATTATAAATGTCAGGCTACAGAGTAGATACCAGGTCAAGGTGGGCTTCCTTGAGTAGTGGACTGCTCCAGGTTCCCTTTGTTCTGGCCAGAATTTGAATTTAGTCAGGCCTGCGTGTGCCTGCTACGCAATTGCCAGGTCCCAGCCAGAGGGTTGGAAGTGGACACAGGGGAACCCCGAAGGGAAGACATATGTTAGGGGAGGCCGACCCTGGCGGCTGATCTGCCAGGGCTACTCAGTAAAGCTGCCGGGGTCAATGAAGATGAACTCCCAGGCAGCATCTTCCCAGGCTCTCTGAGGATTCCAAGTTTTTCTAGGACTGCCCAGACAACACCTCAGGGCTAAGATTTCTGTGTTCACCTTTGCTGGGAGCATTGTCAACTTTAAATAAGTGGATAAGAATAAATACTGGGAAATAGGAAGTGTGCTTAACTGCAACAGTAACTTACCGTCTTCAGTGTTGTAGCTGGCTTTTTCCTGGGGGATTAAAAAAAAAAAGATTGGCTTTGTTGCAACATGAAAGGATAAAGTAGAACTATCTGCTTATCATTTTCTTCTCAAATTTAAATTAGAGCAATGAAAGTGGTACGAGTGTGTAGGAAGGTCTCCTGGAAGGGCGGAGAGGGAGGAAGCAGGATTCAGTAGTGCCACGCCCTCCCCGCCCCCCCTCCCCCCCACACACACATAGGATCCACTGGCAGATGGCAAAGGGGTTAATTGGGGATAAACAGGAGCACCAGTAGCCAGGGAGTTGGCATAACTGAGCTCCTATTCTAGTTCTGTTACTAATTACTCTGTGACTCAGGCCTCTCTGTCAGCTGTGAGGCCACTTGGAGATTTAGTTTCCTCATCTGTAAAATGAGGACCAGACTCAGTGTTTTCAATGTGCACACAGAGTCCTCCCCTCCGCCAACAGCACCCCAGGCTACTGCTTGGGGATGGAGACGGGAGATATGAGGGTGGCCATGCAGGTGAGGTTGCAGCTGGCACCTCCTCATGTCAGCTTCCGCCTGCTTCTAGGTGTCTGTTCTTTACTAAACTTCTGCCCAGGGTTTCATTCCGAACAGAGAAATCCAAGACCAACACAAGTTTGATCATCACTGTGGTTTGTGGTCCTGCAGGTGTGCTCTTCTGGACGGAAACAGTGGAAAAGCACCCTCTACCCCGATTCCCTTTGTGGCTCCATGCAGGCCCTGCTCACAGCAGTGGTGGGAACATCCACTCCCATCTCACAGAGCTGCTTGTCTGTGGCAGGTACTCACCCGGCCCTGGGCAGTGGAGAAGGCACAGCCGGTAACGAAGACGACTTATTGTCCCAGGCCCCACTGCTTCGACCTGCACAAACATGTACACAGGTCAGTCTCAAGTTCTGAATCTGGGGCTGATGGTCACAGGGAGGCTGGCCTTAGGGCAGGCTCAGAAGTACACATATTTAAAGCATGTATTGAAGCTATTGGGGAAAACCTTTAGGCCAGCGGTTCTCAACCTGTGGGTCGCGACCCCTTTGGGGGTCGAACAACCCTTTCACAGGGGTTGCTTAAGACCATCGGAAAACACATATATAATTACATATTGTTTTTGTGATTAATCACTATGCTTTAATTGTGTTCAATTTGTAACAATGAAAATACATCCTGCATATCAGATATTTACATTATGATTCATAACAGTAGCAAAATTACAGTTATGAAGTAGCAACAAAAATAATTTTATGGTTGGGGGTCACCACAACATGAGGAACCATATTAAAGGGTCGCGGCATTAGGAAGGTTGAGAACCACTGTTTTAGGCAAAGGTGATGAAACATTTTAATAAATATCCACTTATTGGCTCAGAACTAGGATGTAAATTAGGGACTTCGTCATAGATACAGAGAACAGATTGATGGTTGCCAAAGGGAAGGGGTTTGGGGGAATGGGTGAAAAGAGTGAAGGGATTGAAAAGTGCAAATTGGTAGTGAAAAAATAGTCATGGGGATGTAAAGTACAGCCTAGAGAATATAGTCAATAATATTAACATTTCTAAGTAACTTCTCTTTTCCCCCCTGGGACAAACCCAGAGTCCCTGATTCTGTGGGCTCAGTGAGAGCCACACAAGGAGTCCTATGGGAGGGAGCCAGGAGCTCACACTTGCAATACATGCACACCAGAGGTGCCTAGAGATGAGGCACAGACCTGCCACTCCTGATCCACACTGGTGGATATCGCTCATTCATAATCACACAAGCACTGATACCTGCACCTCACTTCACATTCTTAGATACTCATTCATTCACCTGACTTCTCAGGGCTTTTGCTCATTGCACAAACAGACAAATTGAGACAAGTTAAGCTACTGTCCTGATCTAATTTCTGAGGTCACAGAAGGGACCCAAAGGGCCTTGTCCACTGCACCCTATTTTCTGCTGCCCAATCCTAAAGATAGAAGCCAGACAATCACTATGAGGGAAGACGATGAGACAGGCAGCGCTTCACCAATGGGGCAGAGAGCAGGCCTGGAGGCGGAGAGGCCAGAAGCTAAGCCAGCTCCCCTCAGCATATCCCGGGCCTCCTCTTAAGCCCATGCTCGCCTGCCTGCACATTACTGCTCAGTGAGACAAAGCCTATTTATTGAATTAAATTGAACTGGAAAAATATTTTATTAAGAACCTACATTTATAAGTCCAGAATTCCTATTGGACTTAAAGAGGATACTCTGTAAGTGTAGGTTGGACCTACCCTTAGTCTATGTTATTTTGGTTTGCGAGACAAAGCACACATAAGTAAACACTGCAGTAAAAATCAATTACCAAGAATTCCTGAGGACCTGGTGTGCAGGAAGCATGTGAAGGCTCTATGTTAGGGGCTGGGGAAGAGGGAAGAAGTAACGCTAGGCCGCTGCCCTCTCAGAATTTACAACAGGAGAAAACGTGTACCTCATGCCACCTCATCTGATAGGACCACCTATTCTAAACACAGAAAAGAAAAGGCCTCAAAAAGTATTAAAAATAGAGATCTTTATGTTTATTCTCATGCACTTGACCAGAGACCTTCAGGCTTTCCCACAGAATCCACCTGCTCTTTCTCCACACACAATTCTTTTTTTTTCTCAATTATAGTTTACACTCCATATTATTCTGTATTAGTTTCAGATGCACAGCACAGTGGCACAGTCACACACTCTAAGAGTAGTCCCTCCCCTGCCCCAAGCACCACCTGGCCCCATACAGAGCCTGGAAGATATTATTGTCCATATTCCCCATACTGTAATCCGCATCTCCGTGACCGCTCTGCAACAGCCAACGTGTACCTCCCAATGCCGTCTTCTACTCGCCATTCTTATGTAGGGCCCATTTCCATAACGCTTAGCGGCACAGAGTGGGTGGTGTTGATTTCATGAGCTGCCTCCCCCGACTCCCTATAAAGGAATGCCCCCCTCCCAGGAGATTCCTACTTACATGTCACCTGACCTAGATGTGATTTTTCAAAAAGAGACTATATCTGGAATTTGTAACATTGCACATGACAATAAACTGAAATATCATCTGAGTATGTAGTGTGAGTCCCACTATGTTTCCTTAGCTACTGTATCAAATTGATAGGGTTCTTCAAATTCTTCATAGCTGAGATTGACCTTAAAATACATTTGGTTAGGCCATGGCAGAGCAGCTCCGTTGGTTGGAGCATAGTCCCAATACACCAAGGTTTTGGGTTCAATCCCCAGTCAGGGCACATACAAGAATCAACCAATGAATGCAGATAAGGAAACAACAAATAGATCTCTTTCTCTCTAAAAATCAACCAATCAATAAAAATACACTTGGCTACTCATAGATTTTAATGAATATTTCGGGGAAGAGGAACAAAAACCTTGCCTGAAAAATAAGGAAGTGTAAAGAAGGTCTAAGTCAGAATTTCCTCCCAGGGGTTCTCCTTAAATACCAAGGGCTCATGTGGCCTGGGTTCATTATCATTGTCACATCTGCTGTCTGGCTTTCTACGCAGCTTCCCTCTTCATATCTCCAAACAGCCTGCCAACGTCTTCCTTCCCCTTCCCTCCTTATAAATAACCTCTGTGATCAGATGGGAAGACAGGCCCATTCTCCTCTGGTGGTGTGGAGGACAGAGTGGTGGAGACCTATGGTCTTGCATCAGGAAGACAAGGTTCTAGTTATTTCTCTGCCAGAAAACTGGTTGGGTGACCTCTTACAAGTCACTGTCCCAGTTTCCCCTCTGTGAAACAGGGACACCACCACCTACCTTACCTAACTCAGAGTTACTGTGGTAAGATAATAGGACAACTTTTTAAAAAGTATGTATTTTTATTGATTTTTGGAGAGAGAGGAAGGGAGAAGGGGGGAGAGAGAGAAACATCAATAATGAGAATCATTGATCGGCTGCCTGCTGCACGCCCCCTACTAGGGATCCAGCCCCAAATGCCCATACTACTGAGGCTGAGAAACCCTGATTTGGAGGAAAACTTTATATGAAGAGGAAGATACACAATTGCTTCCTGAGATATGTACAGGATGCTCTGCCAAGACTGTTCATGAATTTAGGCAGGTTAAACTAGGGGATCTGAATAATAACAGTGATAAGTAACACAGAACTATCATTTTAGGAATGTGATTCATATGTCTTTACCCATTTAATTCTCACAATACCCCTAGGTGTAAGTGGCATTTTCTCCTCCATTTTTCAGAGGAGGACACTGAAAACCAGCAAGGTTACTTAGCTTGTTCGAAGTCTGGTATCTTGCAAGGGTCAGAGCCGGGACCTGAGCCTCTGACTTTGGAGTCTGTGCTCAGTCCTGCTCAGGGCATCTCAGTGTGGAACACACAGGGGAGGGAGAACCTGCCACTGCACCTAACTCACTATGTAACCCCCAGCAAGCACCTTCATAGCCATCAAAGAACCAAAAGCAACATTAACCAGAGGCAGCAACATGGTGTGGTACTTGGACAGAAACACCAAGCTGAAACCTTAGCCCTTTCACGATGTCTATCGGGGCACTGTCGGAAGCTTTGAAAGGATAACAGAGGGTAGGTTATTCAAAGACACACGCAAGTAGTCTAATCATTCAAATGATCTCGCTTCCTCCTTCTGTACTTTCTCCTGTCTGTATCCAACAATCATATAATCAAGACATTATTTTCTTGTTCAGGTTTAGTTTCTTCATCTGATGTCTCTAGTATTAAAATACACCTACACTAGATTAATAGAAAATGAACGAGTAAGTCCAATGGGCTAATGCCCTCTTGATGGTGCCATGTGATTCTTTAAATACTATCGCCAGTGTTGGGGACTCAGCCACTCTCACAACCAACTGACCCATCCACATTTCAGCACCTACTCTGAGCCAGTTGTGTGTAGGCCCTGGAAACACAGCTGTGAGCAAGACATGACACTGATGTTTTTATAGGAGAGAGAGAGAGAGCGCACTCAGGAGAGATCAGGAGATAAAGGGGGAGTGTAGAGAACTAGAGGAGTGCACACCAAGGGGGATCTAGCCCAAAGTGGGGTCAAGAAAGGCCTCCTGAGCAAGTGACATTGAAGTCAATGTATTTAAGGAGCTTTCAATGTAGTTAGGGAGATTAGACTAAGACACAAAGTAATTAGAGGACAGGTATGGGGCCAGTGTAAGTGGGATGAGAGGGCAAAGGAAAGCTCTCTCAGGGCTACAGAAACCATAGGAGGCTTCCTGGAGGGGGAGACCTCAGGCTGGGCCTTGAAGGATAGTTAGAATTTGATGTCATAAAGGTGAGAACACAAAGACCAAAAGGTAGGATCCATGAAATACAGAATGATTGGAGTATTGGGTGTGTTTTAGGAAGAAAAAGCCCTTGTTTGGTAAGAGCATTTTAAGATGCAAACACCACAGATGATTAAACTGTTCTTCCAAAGCAGGGTGCAGGCCTTCATTTATCTATTTCAATAAAAGATTTTCTGTTCCAGTCATAGCAGCCCTTCTCCTCAGTTATGAGTCAGGAGTCTCCATTTCAGCTGGGATCAAAGCAGTCATCACCAATTAGGATGATATTGACATTTGATCCTAGGAGTTCAATAAGCTGGACAAGATGGCCCTGACTGTTACTCCCAAAATATAAAGAGCCCGTGACTTTCGAGGGAGAGGAGAAATAAGACAAGAACTTGTGAAGAGGTTGAACAATTGCACAAGAAATGAATCTAGGAAAAGGTTAAAAAACATACTATTGTTTCATATTTTCTCAAGGATCATGGCCCAGGAAGCAGAGCTCCATCTGCCAATCTCTTGTGTTCAGCCTTTAGCTCTGGAGGGGAGGAGCGGGAGAGAGAGAGAGACTGAGAGAGGTGATGAAGGGGAGAGGGAGAAGGAGGGAGGACTAGAGAGGAGGCTCCTGAACCTCTCTGTGCTGTAATAGGGTGGATGTGTATGTACCACTCAGCTTCGTGGGCTTCAGTTTAGGGGTTGCCAAACCCTACGAGAACCACTGGGAGTTCATGGTTCGGGTAGTGGTTACATGGTAAAAACCAACTTTGTAATGGAATAAAACTGGCAACATATGGAGGCATTCAGAAGCTTAGTCTAGTGACCAAGAAGAGAGCCTAGAGCAAGGGTGTGGCTAGTGACACTCACAGGCAGAAGGTGTGAGGTGATTAAGTAAAGGAAGCCTGGACTAGGGTGGTGACGACTAAAATAGTAGAAAATTTCCAGGAAAAATAACCAGCAGCCTTTGGAAAGAACACAGGCATGCCGAGACACGCAGGTTGGAGGCCGACAGGCAAAGAGCAGTAGGGATGCCCAAAGGGTGATGGGTGCAGTGGGAGGTAGTGGGAATGTCAAGGTGTTCAGAAGGGAAAGCAGGTCAGCATTGGACAGCAGAGTTATCACCAGAGACAAGAGAAATAAAACCAGAAGAATTAATGAACCCTAAAGAAAACACATACCATTTCTTTTGTATTTTGCAGGATTTATTTGGGTGGAGATGTTTAATGTAAAAAATAATACCCTTACTGAGCACCTACTGTGGGTTGAAAGTTTCACACTCACAATTTCAGAATTCTCCTGCTTCAGTGCACTAACCCCATTTACAGGCCCAAAGTGGTACATCTGGTAACTGAGATTCCAACCCAGATCTGTCTAGCTCAAAACCACGCTCTTAACCACCACCATATTCTGAAAGAAGAGCAAGGGCTGAGGACTGACTGAGGCAGACATCCTCAGTCAGGGACAGAAGGAGAAACCAACCAAGTGCCCATGAGGTAGGATGAAAACTAGGGCTTGTCTAGTAGAGGTCCAGGTACATCAGAGGGAGGGGGAGGGTCCCTTCAACATGGGTGCCACCAGACAGTACATGAGGATGAGGGCTTCTGCTATCATTTATTTAAATATACAAGTGATTATTTCTTAATATTTGATCTCAGTTTATCTTATTTGCAATAGATTAAAAACCAACCCCCCAAATGTAATCATTCCATTATTTCAAAAAACAGCACATCACACATATACTTTACCTGAAGCCGTCACTGGAGGAGGGGCTGGCTTCAAGGAGTTACTTGGCTTGGTTGATCTATTCACCATGGGAGCTTAAATACACAAATATGCACAGAATGATTATAATACAGTCCACTGAAGGGGATTCACACTTATGGGAAAATGCATTGTGGAAATGATGGGTCAGACCAGAGAGTTTGGAGGGAATAGGAAACATACTCATTAAACCTATAAGCCATTAAAAAGCCTCCTCAGAAAACAACAACAACACACCGTTAGAATGAATATATTAATGATTAAAGGAACAATGAAATATTTTATGATAGGAATTTTGTTAACGTGAATACTGGCTTGGAATTCCCTTTGCCAAACTGGAGGTGTAGGAGATGAATACTTTTTTTTATAAATTAGTAGAAGTGTATTGAACCTAATAGTGAAGGGGCCACATTAGCAGCCCCACCCTCCCTGCCACAGCAACCCATACCATTTCTTTTGTATTTTCAGGATTTGTTTGGGTAGAGATGTGTTATATGTGTTTATTTTCATGGTGATGGGTGGCCAGGAATTCAGGTGGGTCTTCAAGCCGTTGGTGATGTGTAGGGAATGCAGCAGAGGGTTGCGACGTAGTGGCGGTGTGAAAACTGAGCACTGCTACTCTAGAGTTTATTAGCCGAGTAATGTTCCTTGAAGAAATATCCCTCACACAGGAGTATATTCCTCATAGTGACTATATCCAGAGTAAGCAGGCGCTGTTCCACGGAGGGTACGCGGCACTGGCTTTTCAACATAATTTGTAATTGCATTTGTTATTTTCTGAAGCATTTACAAACAAAATGTTCCTGAAATAGCACTAAATTTAAAGATTCAGGATACAGAGCATATTTTACTCTTTCATATTTTTCAGGCCTCTGCAGAAATTGTGCCTGGTGCAATATTTGTAAGGCCGGCACAGTGGCTTGTGACTTTGTATTAGGTTTTGTGAGACATCCATTGCAGTTGAGGACAGCTAATGATAAGCACCTAGGTGCTTTCATAATTTAAGATGGGAAGAGGACGGAGGAAGAAGGGAAAGACTATGAAATTCAGAGATGGCTCACTCAACCTGTCAAAGCAGGCAAATGCTGTGGACACAGACGAGAGAGGCCTGAGCACCATCACTTCTGAGCCCCGTAGTGCTTGCTACCAAATAGTCTCATATACCCCCCATCAACTGGTAGCAATGTTCAGGTGCTTAAGACTACAAACGCTTGCCTTTTTCAGACGGGAGTGAGCTGCTTTCTGTGGGATGAATGTAGTTTTCATCATCTTCTACAGGGACCACATAATCAGCCTAAAAGAAATGCAGAAGTGAATGAGAAGAATGCTGTACATTCATAGGCTACTGTATGGGAAGAAGTGATTAAAAATATCTTTACTGAGATATAATTTATATACCATTAAATTTCCCTATGTAAAGTGCATAATTTAGTGGTGTTTTTTTTCTTTTTTTAAAATTTAGTGGTTTTTAGTATAGTTGCAGAGTGTGAAACCATCACTGTAATCTAATTTTAAAACATTTTCATCACCCCAAAAAGGAATGCTATGCCCATTAGTCACACTACCCATCTCCCTGTTTCCCATGACCTAGTCAACCAATAATCCACTTTCTGTCTTTAATATTTGCCCATTCTGGACATTGCGTGTAAATGAAATCATATAACATGTAGTCTTTTGTGACTTCTTTCACTTAGCATAATATTTTCAAGGTTCAACCATATATAGGATATATCATTGCTTCATTCCATTTTATAGCCAAATAACATTCCGTTGTATGAATATACCATGGTTTGTTTATTCATTCATCAGTTGATGGACATTTGAGCTGTTTTCACTTTTTGACTATTATGAATAATGTTGCTATGAACATCCATGTACAAGTTTTTATGTAGGTGTACATTTCTCTTGGGAATATGCCTAGAATTCCTGGGTCGTGTTGTAGCTCTATGTTTAACAGTTTGAGGAGTTGCCAAACTCTTTCCCATTAGCAATTTCTCCACATGCTCATCAATACTTGTTGTCTGTCTGTCTTTTTATTATAATTATCATCATGGATGTGAAGTGGTATTAACTATGGTTTTGAAATGCATTTCCCTGATGGTTAATGATATTGAACATCTCAATTCCTTTGACCATTTTGAATTGAGTTGTTTGTCTTTTTATTATTGTGTTGTAAGAGCTCTTTAAATGTTCGAAAAATAAGTCTCTTATCAGATATATAATTTTAAAAAATGTTCTCCCATTCTATAAGTTGTCTTTTTCCTTTCTTGGTGGTATCATTTACAGCACAAAAGTTTTAAATTTTGAAGCTCATTTAATCTACTTTTTTTTCTTGTGCTTTTGGTGTTGTATCTAAGAAACCATTGCCTAATCCAAGGTCATAGAGATTTATACCTGTTTTCTTATAAAAGTTTTATAGTTTTAGCTCTTGCATTTAGGTCTAAGGTCCATTTTTAGTTAATTTTTGTATATGGTATGAGAGTTCTACTTTTATTCATTTGCATGTGTCTGCACAGTCATTCTAGCATGGTTTTGTAAAAAAAAATGATCCTTTCCCCCATTGAATTGTCTTGGCACCTGTGTTAATAATCAATTGATCGTAAATATAGGATATCAAAAAATGTACATACACTCTTTATTAAAATACATTTCATTTTAAAAATTGAGCTATCAGCTGTTAAATTGTGTATACATTTTTTTGGGCACCTTGTATAGGGAAGGAGTGATTTTTTATATTGATACAAATCAAATGAGGTAATCAGATCTCAAAAGTCATTTTACAACCTGCCTTGGTGGGTAGCCAATATGAGTACTGAGAGAAATATAAACTAAACCTTTATTGAGCACTTGTTGCCAGGTATTCATCTGAGAACTTTATATGTGTTGTGTCACTTAATTGTTTTAACAACTTAATAAAGCAGATACTACTATCAGCTCTCCCTGCCCACTAGGGGTTTCCTTTATACATTCCACCCTTCTGCATCTTAGAGGAGGACTATGGAGGAGCAGAGAGAAAAGGTGGAGGAATGAAAGCTAGGTGGGGCGGGGCAGGGCAGAGAGGCAAAGGAGAATAAAGGCAGGAAACGATCTTACAGAGGAAAGAGAAGATCTCAGGAAACCAGGGGAAGAGAAAGAGGATAATAAGAGGGGCATGGAACCAGTATTGATATTGTACCATATGCCTCCAGGGATTGAAAATGCAGCCCTAGCCAGTTTGGCTCAGTGGATAGAGCGTCGGCCTGCAGACTGAAAGGTCCTGGGTTTGATTCTGGTCAAGGGCACATGCCTGGGGTTGTGGGCTTGATCCCCAGTGAGGGGTGTGCAGGAGGCAGCCTATCAATGATTCTCTCTCATCATTGATGTTTCTATCTCTCTCTCCCTCTCCCTTCCTCTCTGAAACCATAAAAATATATTTAAAAAAAGAAAATGCTTACAATAGGTCATATATGCCATTTTTTAGAGAAAGAAAACTACACCCTTTCAGCATAACATTGGAGAGTTAGAGGGTGGCAGTGAAGGCACAAAGTGGCTAGTGCTGGCCAGAGAGCAGGGATGGAAGGAGGAAGACATGCCCGGTCCAGACTGTCCTGATGCCTCCCTCCCATCCCACACCATATCCTGCCTTCCACTAGGTCTGGGAAGCCATCAGATGGATTTACTTTACCTCATCCTCAAGATCCTTGGGTTTGGGTGGGACTTGAGGTTTCTGCAGAGACATCGAGGTGGGCATAGTGGAGGCCAGCCTCGCCTTAGCTGAAGGCCAGCTGGGTTTACTGGGAAGGGTCTTGTTCAAGGGTGGAGACTGCCTCTGGCTTGATCGGTTGTCTTGAAAGAAACAACAAAGCATGAAATGAAAGGGGCTCTGGGTCATTCCCTGGAAGGAAACCACTGAGCTCTAGAAAGTATAGAACCTCCAGCACCTAAGTAGCCACAAATGAATCGGGGCATTCCTTAAAAGAGTGAAATGACATGTTAGGTAAAAAGTTTCAACTGCCCATTGACTTACATTATAAAAAAGTAGAAGAAGGTCCTCATCAAAAACATCCTCCCGGGGGAGAGAGAGAGACCCATGGGCTCAAGAGAGCTGAGAGCCCAGGACCTGCCCACCAGGGGGCATGATGACCTCAGCAGCATGAGGGTCTAAGAGGGGTGCTCCCTCATGGTTTCACACGCTCCATGAACCTTAAGGGCAGAAATTCTCACTCCCACTTACACACAAGAACCACATGAGAGCTTTAAAAAATGCCAAGGCCCAGGACCCACCCCAGACATAACTGATCCTACTCTACATGTTTGAACTTGTAGAGTAGGATCTAGCATTATAGATTTTTAAAGGTGCCCCAGGTTATTCTAAGGTGTATTCAGGGTGGCAACTGCTCATCTGGGTGAACCTACATGGTCCTCCCCCTCAATGATTTCTCTCAAATCATGGAGAACTCATGAGTTCCCCCGTCCAGGACTTTCCTCACTCAGGTATCAGGGAAGCAGTCTAAGCTCTGAAGCCAAATGGCCCTGAGTTTGGTCCCCTGCTCTGCTGCTGATTAGCTGCACTCCTCTGGGCTAGTTGTTATTCAGTCTCTCTGGGACTCACATTCCTCATTTTTAAAAAAAATCTTTATTGTTGAGATTATTACAGATGTCCCTCTTTCCCCCCCCCCCATTGTCTCCTTCCACCCAGTTCCCGCCCCATCCCAGGCCTTCACCACCCTATTGTCTGTGTCCATAGGTAATGCATATCTGTATATAAGATATTTAATTTCTTCCCACCCACAACCACCTACCCTCTGAGAATCGTCAGTCTGTTCCATTTCCATGCCTCTGATTCGATTTTATTTACCAGTTTATTCTGTTCATTAGATGTCTTATTCATTTATTTTGATTCAGTTGTTGATAGGTATGTATTAGTTGCCATTTTGTTGTTCATATTTTTTATCTTTTTCTTTTTCTTCCTCTTCTTAAAGAATACCCTTCAACATTTCATATAATACTGGTTTGGTGGTGATGAACTCCGTTAGCTTTTTCTTATCTGTGAAGCTCTTTATCTGACCTTCAATTCTAAAGGATAGCTTTGCTGTATAGAGTAATCTTGGTTGTAGATCCTTACTATTCATCACTTTAAATATTCCCTGCAAGGATCTCATAGTTTCTGCTAAGAAATCAGCTGACAGTCCTATGGGCATTCCCTTGTAGGTAACTAACTGCTTTTCTTTTGCTGCTTTTAAGATTCTCTTTTTGTCTTTAGCCCTTGGCATTTTAATTATGATGTGTCTTTTTTTATTTTTTTATTTTATTGATTTTTTAGAGAGGAAGGGAGAGGGATAGAGAGTTAGAAACACCGATGAGAGAGAAGCATCGATCAGCTGCCTCCTGCACACTCCCTACTGGGGATGTGCCTGCAACCAAGGTACATGCCCTTGACCGGAATCGAACCTGAGACCCTTCAGTCCCCAGGCCGACGCTCTATCCACTGAGCCAAACCAGTCAGGGCATTATGATGTGTCTTGGTGTGGGCCTCTTGTTTAGGACTCTCTGTGCTTCCTGGACTTGTAAGTCAATTTCTTTCACCAGGAAGGGGAAGTTTTCTGTCAAATAGGTTTTAAGTATCTTGTTCTCTCTCTTCTTCTGGAACCCCCTTAATGGAATGTTGGTATGCTTGAAGTTGTCCCAGAGGCTCCTTACACTATCTTCATATTTTTGGATTCTTTTTTCTTTTTGCTATTCTGGGTTGGGTGTTTTTTGCTTCCTCATATTTCAATTCGTTGATTTAATTCTCAGAATCCTCTACTCTACTGTCGAATCCCTATATATTATTCTTTTTTTTCAGTCAGTGTATGCTTAATTTCTGACAGGTCCTTTTCCATTTTTTTTTGAGGTTTCTAGAAAATTCTTGAGTAACCTTATAACTGTGGTTTTGAACTCTATATCCAGTAGTTTCCTTCTTCCATTTCTTTCATTTGTGACATGTTTTTTGTCTCTGCATTTTGTCTGCTTCCCTGTGTTTGTTTCTACGTATTGGGTAGAGCTGCTAGGTCTCCTTGAGTTGGTAGAGTGGCCTTCTGTAGTAGGTATTCTGTAGGGCCCAGTGGCTCAGCCTCCCTAGTCACCTGAGCTGGGCACTCTAGGTGCACCCCTTTGTGGGCTGTGAACACAGTCTTGTTGTAGTTGAGACTTGATTGCTGTTGGTGTCACTGGGAGGAATTGACCTCCAGGCCAATTCGCTGTGAGAACCAGCTGCAACTACAGTGGGAGAGCTGCTGTGCCAGAGACACCCCTATGGAGCAGGACTTGCTTAAGTGGGACTTTGGTGCTCACTGAGTCTGCCCCTTGAGTGTGTCACTTATGGATGTGTAGTTGTAATCTGGTATGGCCTGACCATTGACCAGTGGGTACACTGGCTCTTGGGTCTCCAGGGAGGTGTAAAGTCAGCCACTGCCTGGGGCCACACAGCAGGAGCTACAGAGAGATCTGAAGATTCCTTCTCTTTGTATCAGGTTTGGAAGTGCCCAGATGAGGCCCAGCTGTGAAGCAAGGTAGGATGGTGCTGGTGCCAGGTCTTGGGCCTTTTATTGATAGGTTTAGGGCTCCCTGACCAGCTGCAGTTTGTTTGGGAGCAAGGTCAGGCCATTTATATGCAAAAGCCACTGCACACAGCTTGGATGGGGTTGTAAATTGGATGAGGTGGGGTCTTAGAGAATCACCAGGGCAGAGCAAACAGAAATGGCTGCCAGCATAGGAACAATGATCCCCGCGAGCACCTCCGTCTGGAAGAAAGCTCCCCCGAATTTCTGCCCCAATGCCAGACAATCCAGTTCCTCCTCGTATGTATCTGTGTCCTCCAAAGCCTCCCCCTGGTGCTGGAGCTCAGAGGAAGCAGGACCTTGTAAGTTCAGTTTGTGCCTTTTAAGAGGAACAGCTGGGTATCCAGCAGCCTCTGTGTCAATGAGCCCCAATCCCCACTGGTTTTTACAGCCTATGGGGACTTCTTTTCCCAGCTCTGGGACCCTGGGTTGGGGGTCTGGTGTGTGGCTGGGATCCCTTGCTCCTCCGGGCAGCCTCCGCCGAAATGATCTCCTTCCCAATTAAAAAAGCAGCACACATGGGTGCTGGATCAGCCCGTTCCATGCCTCCACACCTCCTACCAGTCTCAGTATGCTTTCTTTTTTACTTCTCTAGTTGTAGGACTTCCACTAAGCCAACTTTCCAGTGGTTCTAGATGATGATTGCTCTGTATTTTAGTTGGAATTTTGATGTGGTTGTGGGAGGCGGCGAGTACAGACGTTTACCTATGCCACCATCTTCCTTTCTCTCTCACATTCCTCATTTTTAAAATGAGGATCATCATATCCACCTCAGAGAGATATTGTTTGATCTGTCATCTCTTCTGCTTGCCTCAGAAAACCATGTGGGAGCCCAGCCAGTATGGTTCAGTGTTTGAGTGTTAACCCATGAACCAGGAGGTCATGGTTCGATTCCCAGTCAGGGCACATGTGGGGCGTGCAGGAGGCAGCCTATCAATGATTCTCTCTCATTATTGATGTTTCTATCTCTCTCTCCCTCTCCCTTCCTCTCTTGAAATCAATAAAAAAAAAAATATTTAAAAAAAAGCCACATTCAGGCCTGGAGGCCAGACCTGAGCTGTGTCCATTTAACCTATGAGGCTAATTCCAGGCTTAAAGTTCCTCACCCCCACCCCCAGTTAAAAGTCTGCAGTCTAGACCCAGTGTGCACAGCCAGCCAGTGGGGGGTGGGAGTGGAAGGAGTGGCTGTAGCAGACACTGGGATCCTTGGTGGCCATCCCTGTTCTGTATAGACCTCTCAAGAGAAATGTGGAACCTTGTGCACAGGAAACCCAAAGAGAAATAGGGACTAATCTCGGGGTTGATTTCTCAGACTGTTGGGAGTTGGGAGCAACCATCAGGGTGTTTTCATTTATCCTTTGTCTGTTTCCAATATTCCTGATTTAGGAAGGATAGTTTCCCCCATCAAATGGGCAAGTTTGCCAGCTGGGGCTCCATTACCTGAGTGACCAGATGATCCACCTGGAGGTGGTGGGAATGGGAGGTTTCCCCGCCAACCTTGGCCTGTCCCCACCTCCCCGCTAAACACCCAGGGTCTGGGGGGCCGCCTCACCTACGTACTCGCCCCTGGTGAAGGGCAGGGCTGGGTGAACTGTCCTCGTCTCCTGCTCGACGGGCGGTGGCTCATAACTGTCATCCCCAGGCTCCTCGGCGGGCAGCACGTACATCTCGGAGTCGGAGTGCTCGTCGGGGTTTTCATAGTCGCTGTCCTGCAAGTGCAGACACCGTGCTCAGGGCCCAGCTGTGCCTGGTCGTCAGGACAGACCTGACCTGGAGGGCCAAGCTGCTCCCCCAGTGTCGGGATGAGGAAGCCAGGCCTGGACGGGCTGGCTCAGATGGGGTGGGAGCAGGGGTGGGGAGTGTGGGCGGGAAACCAGGTGGGCCATTTAACCCGCAGCGTGGCTGAACCGTGGGAGAGAAAAATATATAGGTGTCCCAAAATTCACGCAAGAAGTAATTTTGATAGAAAACACAGGTTTATAATTAAAAATTGTAAATTTTTTATTGATTCATAAAGTTTACAGTATAGGGTTATGTATGGAATAGCACATCGGGTAAATGGCCTCCACAGCTTTGCTGGCACATACGCAAAGCCGTGGTCTTCATTGGTCTTCATTGTCCCTGCTCCTGGGCCATAATTGGTACTTGGTAATGCTTATCAAATTGAAGGGATTGAAATCAAAGGGCAACAGATATTAGAATCTGATTCAATAAACCAAGTAAAATTAGGCTTTTATTTTGTTGTTGTTAATGCTCATGCAAAATTCAAACCTTGCGTGAATTTTGGGACACCCTATATTTTAAGAAGACAGAAAAATAGAATAACCGTAGGTTTTATTATCATGAAGGCTGATAGTTGAGGGAAAAATAAGTTTAATAAGGATAGGGGAAGGAGACACACAGGAAAACATAAATACCTTTCAGAAGATGAAGTTAAAAGAAAAAAATATATATTTTTTAAAAACAGAGCTGGTAAGCTAGAGGGGCTGGGCTTCACACAGACTCAGAGTCCACTCTCTATTCTTTTATTAAATATAAATTATATTTAAGTTAAGATTGAAAAATACATTGACATGTTTGTTCTAAAGTTCAAGCAGTTGGGAAGGATGTAATGAAGCCTCCTTTCCAGCTACTCAGTTCCTCTCCCCAGAGGCAAACAGAACCACCAGCTTCTTGTGCATTTTGTCCAGAGCTAGCTTATGTGTATAGCACGCATGTGTATGTTTGTGTGGAAGAAATATTTGGTTCAGGAGTTAAGAGGTCCTCTGACCTCTGTGTCCATTGCCCTCTCCCCACTGCTGCCTGGCAATGCATGATCCACACATGATTTTCCAGTGAGTGGGTGATGCATCTGCCCTTTGGCCCGTTTCATTTACTTGCAGTTGTATAACACTGATGCAGGGGTAGTGTTTCCTTCATTGCTGTATCCTCAGGGCCTGTAACAGGGCTGGCACATGATAGGAGCTCAGTGTGTTTGGGATGAATGAATTAATAAATACATGAGTGAGGCCTATGCTTTCTTCCTCAGTCTGTAGGGAGATGGTGAGAGGAGAGGAATAGGGTGAAGAGTGGGATAAGAAATGAGAAAGGAGTCTACGGCCATACCACCCTGAACGCGCCCGATCTCGTCTGATCTCGGAAGCTAAGCAGGGTCGGGCCTGGTTAGTACTTGGATGGGAGAAATGAGAAAGGAGGCTGAAAAGAAGGTGTGGTTGTTCTTGTCCTAGAGTGGGAGAGAAGGTGGATGGGGTGAGATAAGAAAATTCCTGTAGGGGGATTTTCCCACACCCTAATCCCAGTAATAGCAGATTGGGGGTGGGGTGGGTGTGGGCTCAGTAATCCTTCCTGAACATGAACATGAACTTAGGAGGAATAGAATAATGATAGTAATGATATTATTCTTATAACTGACATTTCTATGTGCTGTATACCTCATTTACTCCTCACCACAATCATGAGATAGTGTTTTAAAACTCTCCCATTTTATAGTAGAGGAAACTGAGGCACAGAGGAGTTGAGTAATTTGAGTCTGCAATCTGTGCTCTGAGAAGTCAATGACTATTCTCAGATGGGGGATCTAGGAGGTGAGCTGGGAGTGAAAGAATGGCTGGAGGAGGCTTATCAGGCAAGAGCCTGGCTTCCCAAGGCCAGCCTAGGCCAGCATGAGGTGGTTTGAGCCCTGCTCATCCAGGCCAAGGGCCCAGTCACTGCTGTGGCAGCCTCTCCGGGAGGCATCAGTGCAAGTGCTGAGAAGCAGCTGCTTTAATTAACATCTGGAAAGTGAAAGAATCAGCAGGGACCAGGACCCATGTGCCTGAGAAGGAGAAGGTTTGGGCATCGCTCTTTGTTTCGGTTTTTATGGACCAGGGATGGGACTTCTGAGGCTTAATTATGTGGCGGCTGAGGAGCACTGTGTGTCTGGGGAGGAGTCTGGGGTCCTTGCAGCCCCTCAGGCTGGGCAGCCTGAAAGGGAGGATCACATTGGCAGAGGAGGCAGAAGGAAGGGGAAGAGGGACTCCATGTCAGCTGTTTCTCTGACACTGGGCTGCCTACCAGATGGAGGCAGGAGGACAGGACTGAGACTATATATCCAGGACCCAGCATAGGACCTGCAATAAGGCAGGTGCCCACCACACAGCTATGGAATGAATGACTGAGCTGCTGCCTGGGCTCTGCAGGGACTGAGGAGGAAGGAATGGCTCTCAGGAGAAGTGCTGGGCTGGAAAATCTATTCTCTGGGCAATGCACCAGGAGCCCCTTCTGCTTCAAACACAGCAGAATGCATCGAATGCCTTTTTATTTCTTTTTAAAAAATATGGAACGCTTCATGAATTTGTGTGTCATCCTTGCACAGGGGCCATGCTAATCTTCTCTGTATCATTCCAATTTGAGTATATGTACTGCCGAAGTGAGCACTTGAATGCCTTTTTATCAAGAGAATAAAAAAAGGAATATGTTCAAACTTGTGAGAGTTTAAAAAAAAATCCTCTTCCCCTAAATTATTATAAATTCTGGCAAATGAAATTTAATCATTCATTCAATATTCAACAAGTGTAATATGTTGGATAATCTGATGGAAACTTGAAGAAGGGAATGTGTAATAAGACAAAATTTTAAGTTGTGCATTTATTCATTTAATCAGTTATTAATTATTGATTACTTAGTATGTGCCAGGCATTGTGCTTAACTCGCTCACAGAAATTATATTCTAGTAAGGGAACCTGATGACACACAAATAGTGAATAATAAATAATAAGTAGACCTTTAACCACATACTAGTAAAATGTCTATCACTAGTGATAGATGCACTTAGGGCAGTAGTTCTCAACCTTCTGGCCCTTTAAATACAGTTCCTCATGTTGTGACCCAACCATAAAATTATTTTCGTTGCTACTTCATAACTGTCATGTTGCTACTGTTAGGAATCATAATGTAAATATCTGATATGCAGGATGGTCTTAGGCGACCCCTGTGAAAGGGTTGTTCGACCGCCAAAGGGGTCGCGACCCACAGATTGAGAACCGCTGACTTAGGGGAATGGTCAGGGGCCTGAGACCATGCTGTGGGGGGCGCGATTCTACCTTGGATGAAGTACCTAAAAGGCCTGCCTGAGGAGACATTTAAACCAAGCCTGGAGGACAAGAAGGCGCTGACCAAGCGAGGAAGAATGGAAGACTGCTCTTTGGTTTCTCCTCTTTTGCCTTCTTTTTTTCTGCCCAAGGGCCACGAGTCTGAAGTCACACTGAGGCTGGCAGGGCCTTGGCATGTTGTAGGAACTAAGGGCAGGCTGTGCGCCTGGGCTATGATGAGGCCTTGGCAGGGGGTGCACTGGGGGTGGGGAAGGCGGGACAGGTCCACAGGGACCAGATTTCACAGAGCCTAGAGGTGTTACAACAAGTCTGGATTTCGTCCATTAATGTCAAAATAATTGTGAGTGAATGTTTCTCAATCCTTATTACAATTGGTGCCTTGATTTTGGTGGTTTGACTTTGAGGTACGTCTTTTCCTCATCTTCAGGGTGATTTTATTTTGTGCTTCCTAATTTCCCACTGTGTGCTTTTTTTATTCAGCCAGCAAGCTAAATTTCCTTGGCTTCCCTCAGCATGAGGACCAGCTTCCTAACTTTACTAAGATGTGGCTCAGTGCGTGCAGCCAGCAGGGGGCGCAGTTGCAGTGCTTCTGAGGGATCAGTGACAGCTGGGCTCTGGGAAATAACTCCATGCCCAAGTGACTTGCCTTTAGAGAAGCCATTTGTCCTCTCTTTAAAAAAATCTTTTCTCTGCAGTCGAAAAGGGAAGAACTTCTGTCTCCTTATACTCGGAGTAAACTCCAGGTGGTTTACACAACATGAGCCCAGGCTCAATTCTGGGCACTGGACAGGGGTTCCTAGTTCTCATTCTGGCTGCTGAGTAACTTAACGACAGTGGGCAAGTCGTTTTCATTCTTTTGGCCTTCGTTTCCTTATATGATATGTTGTCGTGTAGAGACCTTCTTGGATCCATTCCAGATCTAAAGTTCACAGATTGGATTCACAGGCATGAATTTGACATATGAGAAATAATTATTGGGAAGAAAATTTTTTTAGGCTGTCTTGTCCCTATAAGACTCAGCCTAAGGGAAAAGTGACTGCTGGGGTTTTGTGGGTTGTAAAGACACCTTGGAGAGGTTTACAGTTAATTTGGACATGTCACCCCCGCCCCCCTCCCCCAATGTCATCATGGCCAGGGCCTCCTCTCTCACTCTGGCCTCTGATGCTCTGCTAGCCTGCTTGGTCACAACAAGCACCTTGGAGCCTGGGTTTGAGATCTGAGTGTCTGAGTGAGAATTTTGGAACTGCAAGTTAAATTTTTCATGCCTTTGTTTCTTCAGCTGTAAAATTGGTGGGGCTAATATTCAAAATGTTTAACAATGGCCCTGAAGAATGTCTCAATGCCCCTAATGTGCCAGGCATTTACTCTTGGTTATTGGTTTGTTTGAGCTTCTGTGCAGGGGCCAGGAAGTGATGGGCACTGGGGAATTCAGGACAGAGGCATTTGCTAAATGACATGGAAATATTTAAACAGTTTACCATCTATTTTTTCCATGCTGGTGAATACTCTCGATATTAGCAGAAAATGGGGATAAGGATGCCTACAGAGGGCTGTAGTGGGGCTTAGGTGAGGCAATGCACATAAAGCTCTTCGCCTGGCATGGTGCAGCTCACAGCAGCCTGTCTGAGGTTATTGGTGCCATGTCTGCAGGTGGCCCGGCCACCTCCTCTCTGTGATGTGCAGCTGACCACCAGTGTGTGACTCAGAAATAAACCCTTAGAAAAGCCCTGGTGGAAACAGAACCCTCCTCGTCCCAGGAGCAATACTTACAAAGTCATCTGACCACTGCTCCTCTTCGCCAGCAGGGCTCTCTGAAATGACACGGAGGAGGCGGAATGCATAAACATAAATCTCAGCTGGCAGCTCCCCCCTGTCCACAGCACCTGCACCTGCCTTCCCTGCCCTGGGGCTTCCTGGTCCCCTTCACTTGACCTTGAACGGTTATTACAGTCATCTAATATTCACTCACTTTCAAATCCTTTTTTTTTTTAAAGTCAGTTCTCACAGCATTAAGAGAAGTCTCGCTGGGAGCAGAGAAATGGTGCATTTGACCCATGTCTACCTTTGTCAAGGGACATTTTGGGGACCTTAGAGTAACCCAGTAGGAACCTGCAGTTCATACTGTGTTGCTCCCAAGGATCTCTTTGAATCAATATGTGGATGGTGCAGTAAGAAGAGCACTGGACCTGGAGTCAGACCTAAATTCTCATCCAGGCTCTGTTCCTAATCAGATGGAGAGTGGGCAAGAACAACTAACACCCAAGATCAGATAGTGAATAGTTGAGCCCTATGGGCTGACTTCCAAGTGCAAGCTCTGAACCCCAGTGCCATGCTGCCTCACTGTCTTTGAGCTCCAGGGTGCAGGCACCATCCTAGACTCTGCAGGGGTATAAAAGTGGATGTGACAGCCCAGCTGGCATGGTTCAGTATTTGAGTGTTGACCTATGAACCAGGAGGTCACAGTTTGATTCCTGGTCAGGACACATGCCTGGGATTGCGGTCTTGATCCCCAGAGTGGGGTGTGCAGGAGGCAGCCAATCAATGACTCTCATCATTGGTGTTTCTATCTTTCTCTCCATCTCCATTCCTCTCTGAAATCAATAAAATAATACTTCTTAAAAATGGATGTGGCTAGCTAGTGTAGCGGGTGGAGTTGGAGGCCTGGCTATCTGTTGGCTCCTGCAGAAATCTCTTGTGAACCACCTGGCCCTCCACTGTGCATTCAGGTAAAATCTAGAAAAAACCAGAATGGCCCCCTCTGGGCATCATGACACACCGAGGCAGTAAAGAGACAAAAGTATCATGTGGTAGAGGTTTTTGATGGTGCCCCTCCTCTCCAGCTACACCCGTCTTCCGGTTCCACAAGCAGCTCACAGCATCATCTGGTTAAATGGCCTTAGAGGTTAAATGCAGAGTCACAACCTTGCAGGCCATTGTCCAGACTAGAAAGCATGACAAGCCAACGTACTAGATCTAGAGTAGTGGGTAGTTTTCCAGCACTTCAGGGAGCCTCCACGGTGTGCAGGTGTTTTAGAACCAGGCTCCCTGGATTCTAATCCTGGCTCTGGTTTTTGCCACCTGCTTGGCAGTGGACCAGTACTTTAGTGTTTAAAGTTCCATTTCCCCACCTTAAAACAAAGATAAGAATAGTGCCTGCCCATGTTTTTATGAGAGTCAAGTAATATAATACATGTGCTTTGGCACACAGTAAATGCTGTGTCGGTATTGTTGTTGTCTTGGGTATTGATAATTCTCAATAAACCCTCAAAACAATTTCAATTCTATTTCACTCTAATTGCAACCATGCGGTAAGACGTGGAGCTAAGATAGCCTCTAGTGTAGTGGGTGAACTCTTCAGGAGGGTAAGTTCAAGTTTAATATGGGCCAGGTGGTTCAATTTGGGGTGTGGGATTTCCTGCCCTTGCCAAGAAGCTGAGAAGCTGGTTGGGCCTCCTTTTTGGGGAAAGCCTCTCCTACTGTGTCCTGGACCTGTTTGGGGGCTTAGGCTCCATTGACTGTGTCATAATTTCCTGCCACACAATAAAGGGACTTGTCCCCTTGCCTCACCCAGGCTTTGCAATTCACATGGCCCTCCCAAGCCTGTGGACACAGCACCTGGCACTTACACGCTACAATGGCCACAGTGGCCCCCATCTCAGTGTCTGCTCCAAGCTAAGACATGTAGGGTCCAGTGTCTTGCTTAAAAGCCTGATTCTGTGATTAGTTAGCAGTGTGACCTCAGGTGAATTGCTTACCCTCCAGGCCTCAGTTTTCTCATCACTAAAATGGACATGATTAGTAGTACTTATATCATACGGTTTTGAGAGAATGAAAGTGAAAGGACACATGGGAAGTGCTTAGAGGCGTACCTGACATAGAGTTAGGGCCCAGTTATTACTATCGATGGACTTTATCCCTAATTCTCACAATTACCTGAAGGATAGGTAATCTTATCTCTAGATCAGGGAGCTGAGGCCTGGGGAAGTTACAAAACTTTTCTTGGTTCATGCAGTGCTTAAGGGACAAAGCCAGGATGCCACCCCAAGTCAAAAGGACCCCAAAGTTCCAGGTATTCTCACCGAGCCACCCAGTACAACAGTAATAAAAGACCTAGAGTTGAGAACAATTGTGTATCAGACAGTCCAGGTGGTGTAAAATTTCCTGATAAGTGTCTCAGCACCTGGAGTCATGGCCAGATGCTGGGAAAGATCAAGAAAAGTGTGGTCAGTGAAGGCATGAAGCTTTGTGTCAAAGATGGAATTGGACTGGGCCCTGAAGGACCAGTGGGACTTGAGCAAGAGAATGAAGATGAAGGAGGGCATCTCCCTCTCATCCCCTAAGACAGGCTTGTGTGCCAGTCCCAGAAGTAGGACTTAGAGCTGAGGGATGGAAGGGGCATCCATAAGACACAGATGTGCACAGAATGAACGAGCTCCACTGGAGAGTCACAGGAGAATTTGCCAGGAGGAAAAACAAAGCTAGAGTCACTGCCAGCCAAGGGACACTGTGGTCCTAGTTACAAGCTGGAGATGGGGAGGCTAATGAGTATGGTGTTTGAGTAACTCAGCCATGAAGACATGAAGGCTGAAATAGACTGGGGGTCTTGGGGAGGGGCGGGATGGCTGGAAGGACAGCAAAGGGCTCTGTGGAGTGATCTTGATTGAAGGGGTGAAGGCAAGGGGATGAAGTCAGCCTTTCGGTTCTGGGTCCTCAGGAGCCTCAGAGACTGTGGGGCTGTGCTGGTGGCATCTCGGCCATGGACTTTAGAGGTGCACTCCACAGCTGGTGTCTGACACACAGTGTCAGCTGTGGCTCTGATTCCACTCTGGCTGTGCCCTTGACCAGGAGTCCTCCCATTTCTCCTCCTACAGAGCTGGTGGTGGGATGCAGGGACCAATGGGAAGACCACAGTGGGATGCAGGAAGGGAAGAAGGAAGGCAGGTGGACCAGCTTTGGTGGGGGGACAGATTCAGGGAAGGAATATAAAACAGAACGGTAAGGCAGGGGAGGTTGTGAGTGGACAGTCCCACTAGGTACACCCTGAAAAGATAAAGGAATGTGACTGAGTGTGGGAACTGAGGCCAAGGCCAGATCCAGCCTGGTTATGAGTCTAAATGCATCTTTGAAATTCCCTTTTTTGGTATGTTTATTCATCCCTACCAAGGGCCCTATTAACAGGGTGGTGAGTGTGCATGAGAGGGGGACATAGTCGTGGCTTAGCCATCACCTGGCTGTGTGACCTTGGCAGTCACTTTGCCTCTGTGGTTTCCAGTTATTCCTAACATGAAAAGCTTGGATTGGATGATCGTCTCTAGGCTATAAAATACCTTTGAGTCCAAGTTTCATTCCTTTATTCTTAGTTCCATGAGGCAGGCCTGATGTGGAATCAGCTCTCCCCATGTGGACTTTGTTGGCAGCACCAGTTAGAGTATAAATGAGGAGACGGAAAACCAAGCGAATGCTGGCTTCACTGAGGACATGGAAGCAAAAGCAGTGCTATATTTCACTTCCTTTGTGGACAAAGGGTTGTTATGCGTATCCCATTCTTCTGTGGCGGACATTTACCCAGAAATCCCTGTGCAGGTAACTTCCTCTGCCCCACCCCCATCACTTCTCTGATCTCTTCCCTGCATGACATCAGTGGTGGGAGCAGAGGGTGGGCCTCCAAGGGACAGCACAGCAGCCTCTGGATAGCAGAGCTCATGTACACAAGGAGAGAGGCCTTATTCAGCTCTGACCTCTCAGGGCTTGTGCAGGGACCATGGGAGCTTCTGCAGTGACCTCAGCAGGCTCTGGGGTCACCATGACTGGTTCTCTCTACCCCCCCACTCCCACCCTGCCAGCTCCTGAGCCAGACAAAGACACTAGAGCAGTGGTTCTCAACCTGTGGGTCGAGACCCCTTTGGCAGTCGAATGACCCTTTCACAGGGGTCGCCTAAGACCATCCTGCATATCAGATATTTATATTACGATTCATAACAGTAGCAACATTACAGTTATGAAGTAGCAACGAAAATAACTTTATGGTTGGGTCACAACATGAGGAACTGTATTTAAAGGGCCAGAAGGTTGAGAACCACTGCACTAGAGGTTGTTCAACTATGAAAGCACAGGAACTGGAAAGCAGATTCTGGTGTTAATGTCAGAGGCTTTGGGGGTTCAAAATAGTAAGAAATTACCCAGAAAAGTGTAACCATCTCAGCTTGGGTCAAAGGGAGGAACAGCAGGATGGGAGCTGGGGTGGGTTTCCTGTAGTGGCTGCAGTAACCTTGGGCGTGTTATTAACATTCCTGAGGTGCATTTTCTTCATCTGGGAAATCAGGTTTGACCAAGTATAACAGGCTAATTTTTAATGATAATTTTGTGTGGCCCATGAATGCTGTCATAAATATCCAAATGGCCCTTGGCAGAAAAAAGGTTCCCCACCCCTGTAAGGAGAGGAGGGACTATGGTGACTCTTCTGCTGACTGCTGTGGGCACTGGCCCTTTCCCTCCTCTGCTTCCTGAAGGTCTCTATCACCAAGGTCAACACATTTTCCTGGGTAGAGGGTGGGGAAGCCATTTGCTTCCGGGACTGGAAAAAGGACATAATTCCCACATCTGGGGGAGAGAGGTGGGGCTGTTTCAGGAGTCTTTGGTGGACTCAAGGCCTCCAGAGAGTGCCTGACTGGGCTCTGGGGCTCTGGAGGTCTGGTGGGCTAAGGTCTCCAAGCACTGCCACGTTCAGGGACCTTGCAGACCCCCTACGTTCAGGAGGAGCTGTCAGGGTTGGTTTCCAAGGCCCCGGGCTTGCAACTGTTTAGGGTCCCCAAGGCTCAGAGGAAGCAGCTGGAAATGCTTCTAGAACATGAGTTGGGGGGGAAGAGGGGGGCAGAGGGAAATGGCAAGGGAGGTACTCACTGCAGGTGGTGTTGGTGGTTTTGCCAAAAGGACCTTTTTTGGGGACTGGGTGTCTTAGCAGAACAGAGTAGGCAAGGCCTGGGTGAGGGGATCTCAGCAATAGGATGAATTTCTGAGATCCAGGAACTTCCATGGATTTGACAGTTCAGGAGCCGCAGTAAGGACAGAGTTGGTGGATTATAGCAGGGTTTCTCAAATTTAATATATGTACGTTCAGATCCCCTGGAGCTCTAGTTAAAATACAAAATTCTGATGCCTGAGTTCTCGGGTGGGGCAGAGTCTACTTTTCTAATCAGCTCCCAGGTAATGCTGATGCTGCACGCTAGGGATCGCACTTCAAGCAGCAAAGGCTTAGAAGACCCAGCTGAGACCCAGAGAGATTAAGTACAACCTGGAAGAGGCAACTTCCTAAAGCCAGGGGAGTTTAGGAGAAGCTTGCGTCACCCTGGGCCCCGGGCTCCAGAGACTTGTGTTTCTGTGCGTGTGGAGTATTAGCGTTGGCGGGAAGCTGACAGAGCTTCTTGTTCAGTCCTGTGTGATATAGAAAAGGAGAGGAGAGTGCTTGGTCCAGGGTTACACAGCCTGTGGCTAGGCATTGAAGGACCTTGTATGCAGGCTCAGTGGTTGGCAATTCCTCCTGCTGCTGATGTAAAGCCATGAGAATATAATGCAAAGGCATTTCAGAACAACTCTTGGTGGAGGTTGAGAGGACCACATGGGATTAGGAATTAACAAGACTATTTAGAAGCTTCTGTACTGGGACAGAAGCCCTGATGACAGGGCTCTGAGCTGTAGCTATGTGAACAGAGAGGGACAAACATATTTGAGAGACACTTAAAAGCTAAAATTAATAGGATTTAGAGATTATTATTATTATATATTTTTTTGGTAGAGGGGGAAGGAAGAGAAGAAATCAATGATGATCTCTAGTGTGTGGGGGTTAGGCAAAAGGATGAATAAATGATGAATGTTACCTGGCTTTTGCCCAAGTAAAAAATATAAGAGAAGAAGGGGTCTGTGTGGCCATCAGGACAGACTATGAAGCCACAAGGAAATGAGTCACATCTATATCCCGCCAGGGCTGCCTGCCCCTGACTGGCCCGGACAGGTATGGGAAGTCATCTGCCCCTGACTGGCCCGGACAGGTATGGGATGTCCCAGCAGAAAGTGGGCCTTGTTTGTGGTACATGGTGGTGGGTAGGTCTAAGCATTGGATTGGATGTTAGACTGTTTGACCTCTGGGGCTCCTATTAAACCTGACACTCCATGATTTCATATTTTCCCATCAAAGCTTTGGGTACTTAACAGGTATAGCCTGCTTGGTTTTCTTTTCATTTTTAGAACTTGAAGAGAAGAATAAGGGTTTTTTGTTGTTGTTTTACTGAGGGCTATATAGATCTGTCCACATCTAAGAAATCTTTACATTTAAGCCATTAGAAACATTTTAGACCTATCCTCCTAAGGCATCTGTTCTAGAAAAGGGAAGTATGCTGGATAATTTACTTTGCTCACAACTGCCATAAAAACTACCAACCTCAAGAGTAACTATTCTCCCCTGATGAAGTTGATCCTACTTGGAATGGGAAAGGATTGAGTAACCGTGTGCCACCAATAATTTATCCTCACCCCCTTCAAATATCCCCTTTTAAGTTCTTTATCCAGGAAGCCTTCCTTTCCCCACTTCCCCCACATCCTCCACATCAGATTAGATTAAATACTACTGTAGAACTTTGTGCTTCCCGATCACACTGAAATGTAATTGCGTTTAACACCATCTGTCTTCCCTTCTAGACGATAAATTCTGTGAATGTGGCGCTATCTTGTTTAGTACTGTGTTTCTACCTGAGACCTTGCATGTGCCTGGCACATGGAGGATGCTTAATAAAAGTTTGACAAATAGATGACTGGATGGATGGATGGTTGTCAGATGGATGGATAGGATTCGGTCATTCTTAAAATTAAGATGGACACCTTTTGCCCTATCTGGTTTTGCTCAGTGGTTAGAGCCTTGGCTTGTGGACTGAAGGGTCTCGGGTTCAATTGTGGTCAAGGGCACATGGCCAGGTTGTGGGCCAGTAGGGGGTGTGCAGGAGGCAGTCAATCAAAGATTCTCTCTCATTATTGATGTTTCGATCTTTCCTTCTCCTTTCCTCTCTGAAATCAATAAAAAAATACTTTTGAAAAATGGGCGCCTTTTGTTTCCATGTGAGTAGAACATAGTTCTCTTTGCAAGAAGTAAATATACACCTTAAATTAGTCAAGAATCCAAGTATTTTAGAAATACTCTTACCAGAAGCATAATCCCTTCGAGGAACACTTGGAGGTGCTTTGACTTTCAGCCTGTGGGAAACAACCATTAGACAAAAGGTCAGTGGGTAGGACATCTGTTGTCAAGGCCCATAATATAAGCAGATATAGAGATAAGAGATAACGAATAGAATAATGGCTTTTTTTGGACTCATTGCATCGAAAGACCAAATATATTGAAAATGTAACCAAGCCATTAATCAGAGGTTTCCCAGCTCTCCCCTTGTCCCCAGTGCACAATGTGGCTGTGACTTGGCAAAGGTGAAGCCAAGCAGAGAAAGGGCTTTGAGAGGTCAGAGTATAAGCACTGAGTCCAGAGGTTCAAGGAAGATAAGTGATGAATGTTGATTGGTTGATAGGAAGGTAAGGGAAGATGTACTCTATTTTAATAAATAATTAATGAACACTTCAATAGGAAAAATTAGTTCTCATGAGCACTTTAATTGTAGGTTGGACTGAAATTGTTTTTGTGCTATTGAAAAACTGACAAATAAGTGAGCATTGAGTATCTCTAGGTTGGGGATTGTGATATTTCGCTTAGTTAGAAGTTGAACTGCTTCAAGCTCTTTCAAAACTGTGGTATCTTTATACACATATAAAACGTTCTGAATATTCACAATCCTTCCCCACTCTTTAAAAGAAGGAAGTTAAAATTACATTTTAAAAATGCATCCCAATTTTTAGGCTTTTTATGAGTATTGGCAACACCTTCCCTTCCATTACAGGTATTTGAAATGGTTACAGTTTATGGTAAATTGTTACTTTTAATAACAGTTACCAAATTTATTTGAGAATGATTTACTTAATTAATATTTTTAAATATATATGTAAAACCTACATCCAGTAGACTTTGTTTACTAAAATATCACATCCTTTAGAAGCAGCATACAGTATAAAGGTAATCATCACATACAAAGCATATTTCATTGCTTGGAGAAAAAAATAGAAGTTCAGAAATTCATGTTTGATTACAAAAAAACAAGACTTATAAACCAGAATTGTAATGATGCAAAAATAACAATATTTATATTTGTGTAGAAATCCTGCTTTTCATTTTCCCAAAGACTCTTACATCTATTATTTCTTTCAATTCTCATAACAAACCTACTAGCAGGGTGTGCTGGGGAAGATACGATCATTAGACCTGTGATGAGGTAGAGAGAAAGAAAGAGAGAGAGAGAGAGAGAGAGAGAGAGAGAGAGAGAGAGAGAGAGATTACCAAAGGTGTTGTAGGGAAGAAAAACAAAGCAAAACTGGATCTGGGCCAGGTCTATTCATGGAACAGTAAAATTTCAAAAAGCACAAACCAACTATTACATACTTTTGTAATCATTTCCTAAAAGAAAAGGAAGGTTATTTTAATCCCCCCACAAATGTATGAGGGTCATCATTTCAGAATAAAGGACAGATTCAAGAAAGGACTGGGTCACTGAACACAGGCCAGGAATAAAAGGTGTGGCTTGGGCCCCACTTAGCAGCCAGCAGCTACACACCAGCCCCCAGCACTTCAAGGTCCTTATTTTCTCATTCGGCCGTGACCAGTGACGACTCTGTCACAGTTTTGGGTTAGGAAACCAGTGTGTTCAACCAACCATGCTTCCTCCTTTCAAGGTGGCACCTGTTGCCTGGCAACGAGCTAAGAACTACCAGTCACTTCAAACCAAAGGGCCACTGACTTCACCAGGGGTAATGACTATGGCAGCCATATTTTCCAAGCTGAGAACAAACACAGCTTGTCAAGTGAAAGTGCATTTTTTGGAAAACAAAAAGTGCAATGGGTATACTGCAATGGAAACTGCCTGGAAAAATTTGAGCCCTGTGGCTGCTGTATGATTGACCATGGAATGGCCATTTTATAAAGAGGCTTCATACTATTGAGAAAACTGCTGCATTGTAAAACTGGCAGCTGTGAGATAATCTAGAATTGCTAGTGATTAAAACAATGATAGCAGGGCTCTCATTTCAATGAAATTCTGAAACAAATGAAAACAATCACACTCCTCTCCTCTCCCAGTCACAGGACAGACAGGAAGAGGAATTCTCCTCCTCCATGATGACTAATGCCCCACAAACAGACCATTTTAACTATTTTATGATGATCACTTATACACATTGAGACCCATTTACATTTTATAGTGTGAAAACACCACAAAAGTGATGTCTTACTTTTAAGTTTTGCAAAGACCACAAAGAATGAAGATACTCTGTTCCGAAGGCAATGTACTTTCATACACCATTGGTGGTACAAAATTTTGGGAAAGCAAATTGCTAACATCCATAAAGACTTCAAGGGCACATATCCTTCAACCCAGAAATTTCATTTCAGGAATTTAGCTTTCTGGTATACTCAGAGTCTGCAAAGGATATTTATTAAAATATTACTTGTGGCAGTTAAACTGAAAGAAGTGCCCACAAAATTTTGATCTTATCTAAATTGATATTATCAAATTGCCCTCCAAAAATGTTCTAGTTTAAATTCCCAACCTCCCACCACCTCTTTAAAAAATATCCAACAATATATGCTTGGTGAAATGAACAATAATACATTTCTAGTAGACTATTAATCAGCTTTTAAAAGGGAATATTGTTTATTTTCACATACCAACAAAGACAGATGTGCATGATGTACCATTAAGTAAAATCACCAAACAAAGCAAGTTGGTAGAATGGATTATAAATATGATACCATTCATGGTGAAAATGTTTGTGTGTATAGGCATGCATTGTATCCATGTCATTGTATGTATATGTCTGTATAAGCTTATACATATAGATTTATATACCAAACTCACACATGACAATGTCCATTTTTGGGGAGTAGGTTAAAGTGGGAATATGAAGAAGTAGAAGCTTTTGACTATACAACTCTGAACTCTTTGATATTCCACCCCCCACCCCCCCGGGTGAATCTGTATTACTTTCTTAAAAAAACAAAACAAAACTTAAAAACTTAACAAATAACAGTTCCCCTTTCTGCTTGATTTAGATTTTGAGTGTCAAATGCGAGTATGTACAATATTATGTACAATTTCTCTTCTCTTAACAAAAGCTTAAGAGTTTGGGGTGTACAAGAAGATGGAGAATTCTAGCTTTCCCTCTACAAGTGCCAAATGAAAACACCATTTAAGGCAATAACTGAAAAAGCAGAAATCAAAATATGGAAGAGAGGTATGGCATCCTAAAGGAGCTTGCGCTGTGTTCTTGTAACTTCTCTTTAGGATTTTCCCAACCGTGTCTTCATGACCCTTAGCTGAATGGTTTTGGAAGCTGATTTTCCTACTTCAGTAAACGTCATTTTGACATTTGCTCAGCACCTCAAATGGCATCGCTCACCCTTTGAGCAGTGAGAGGGGAAGTGAAGTGCCCCGAGAACCACCCCGTCCACTCAGCAGGGTTCCTGAATGTGGCTCTGAGCGCAGTGGACTCCACCACGAGTAAGAAAGGGTTACATGCTAAAGAGGTTGCAAATCCTCACTCGGTACCAGAGAACTTTGTTTTTTCCCTTTCTCAGGCTGGCATAACATGTTCAGATAAGTGCTCATATAGTGCTCTGGAGTCTAACTTACTTTTTTATTTTGTTCATTATTCCACCTTCATTGTTCTTAATATCATGGACCATCTTTTGAAGCTGCCTGTAAGAGACAAAAATTAAACATAAAATATTAATAACTATGTTTATTTTTTTTAAAAAAAACCTATCCTATTGAAAAGAGAGACAGAACCCTACAATAAAATCCCAAATAGCATGAATTATATTGTATTTCTTTAAGTTTAATTAATCATATTTAATTGAGTTGACCATCTGCTACTAGAGTAGAGGGAAAGGGTGACTGATTCTATGGTTCTATAAGGAATGTGGTCATTGGGCCGTGGCCCCATCAGGCATCCGTGAAGGGGAATTCTGATTCCCAGAGATGTCTGTTCTGAGGAGACATGTGAGGTCCAAGCCCTCTGATCCCATCATAAGCCTCATTGTTCATCACTTACTGTCCTCTCAGCCCCTATATTGCAAGAATGGGGCTATCTTGAAGCTCACAGGATAGGCTGAAATCAGGTCCAAAATTTTTTTCATTAACTTTACTAGGTAGAATTTGGAAAAATTCTACCTAGTAATTTTAATTGTCATTTAAAAGTTACACACATAGAAAATCCATAAAGAAAATGATTAGTGAATCTGGTTGCACAGGTATTTGAAACTTCTGTAGAACAAAAAGTAACATGCACAAAAATCAAAAGATAAATGACATGCGGAAGAAATATCTGTAGCACATAACAATAATGGTAATAATTACAATAATGACTACAATTTTTGATTTACAAAGAAATCTTACAATGAAGTAAAAAATGATTAATGATTCAATAAAAAATGAGCAAAGGATGTGAACAGAAAAACATAAGTGGGCAACAGACCAATGAAAAGACATATATATATTTTTAAATATGTTTTTATTGATTTCAGAGAGAGTAAGGAAAAGGGAGAGAAAGATAGAAACATCAATTTGCTGCCTCCTGCACCCTCTTCACCCCCCCAACCCCCACTGGGGATAAAGCCTGCAATGTGACCCCAGCAAGTGCCCTGACCAGGAATTGAACTGGTGACCTCCTGGTGCATGAGACGATGCTCAACCAACAGAACCACACTGGCTAGACCCAATGAAAAGATATCATTTATATTTAAAGAGATCTAAATCAAACAACAGTGATATATGCTCTGCTTATCAGACTGGTCAAACTTAACTCGTGTGATAATACCCATGGTTAATGAGGGTATGAGAATACAGATATTCTTGGGAATGTAAATTGTTACAGTCATCATCTGTCAAAATTTAAAATGTCCATGCCTTTTGACCCAGAAATTCCACTGTTAGGAATTGTCTTCTGAACATGGTCATAAAATTATACTATTATATAGATATCCACATTGTACACATATAAGCATTATCTATAATAACCCTCATCCTTTCTGCCTTCCCCCTAAAAAACCTGGAAACAACCTAAACACCCATCAATCACTAAAAGGGAACTACTTAAATAAACTTTGATAAAGCTATATGACAGAATACCACGAACCCCTCTTTAAAAACAAACATCTGTATTGCTGGTGTATAAAAATCCCCAAGAAATATTAAGTTAAACAAAAATGGAAAAGGAGGAAGAGGAAAAAAGAAGGAAGGGCAGTTCAGAATAGTGTGTAGTATGTGCCATCTTTGTGGGGGGGGGGAGGCCATATACATGCATATGTGCTGGTATGTACATAATGTTTTATTTATTTTATTTTATTTTTTTAAAAATATATTTTATTGATTTTTTACAGAGAGGAAGGGAGAGAGATAGTTAGAAACATAGATGAGAGAGAAACATCGATCAGCAGCCTCCTGCACATCTCCTACTGGGGATGTGCCCGCAACCCAGGTATATGCCCTTGACCGGAATCGAACCTGGGACCCTTCAGTCTGCAGGCCGACGTAATCTATCCACTGAGCCAAACCGGTTTCGGCAATGTTTTAGAAAGATACACAAGAAGTCATTAAAATGTTGTTTTTAGAGCCAATTGAGTGCTTTCACACAAATTAGAAAAGGGAACCCCTTGTCTCTGGGTGGACACTGCCCAGTGGCAGGGCACACAGCTTGGCAAACAGACAAGGGGATTTCAGGCCCTACCAGTCCTTCTATTGGACAGTGAGGACTGGTGGCTTGGAGTGGGGAAGGGGGCTCCTACTTTATAAAAAGGAGACTTTTACTCTACAATGAAAACTTTTCTATAGTATTTGACTCTTGATAGCATGACCTTAGTGTATGCCTTTTATATCTGTTTTACATACATATATACAGAAGCATGTTGACCACGTTTTATTTTCTTCCTAATAACATGGCTCTGCCCTGAGAGAGTAGGATATCTGAATTCACCTTTCAGGCAAGCCTTTCCTTTGTTCTGCAAAAACTGTTTGACTGGGTTTTAGTTAACAAAATGGAAAGATTATACACAATCATTGTACCTAGAGAAAATCAAGATTTCCCATAAACCTGCATGCAGATGTCTCTGATTCTGGAAGCTGGGCCTTCTGTTGGGTAATACGAATAGTGGTGCACAACTAAGCTTAGCACAGGTCTGTAAAACCCTGTGGGTTGAGGGGTACCTGGGAGGAATGTTCTCTGGTTCGGTAAGGATTTAGAACCCATATGCTACAAAGCTTTTTGGTGTGGATGGAGCCGTCCAGAGCAGTGGTTCTCAACCTTCCTAATGCCGCGACCCTTTAATACAGTTCCTCATGTTGTGGTGACCCCCAACCATAAAAAGTATTTTCATTGCTACTTCATAACTGTAATTTTGCTACTGTAATGAATCGTAATGTAAATATCTGATATGCAGGATGTATTTTCATTGTTACAAATTGAACATAATTAAAGCATAGTGATTAATCACAAAACAATATGTAATGATATATGTGTTTTCTGATGGTCTTAGGCAACCCCTGTGAAAGGGTCGTTCGACCCCCAAAGGGGTCGCAACCCACAGGTTGAGAACCGCTGGGTTAGACAATCATATACTTTACAAAGCATTTCCCCCCAAATTCCAGTACCCACATGGAACTATTGGGAGGTAGTACATAGTTATTACAGAGTAACTTCCCACCTGCCTGCTATTAGTATTAATTACAATAAGAAAAAAAAATCTCTGTTTAATCTGGATTTAGGATTAAAGAAGGTCTCATATTAAAGCAACTCTTTGCAAACAAAAAGAGCAGGGAACTTCCTCCTCCTTCTTTATCCCTGAATCTTAACCTCGGGTCTTTTGCAGCTTTAAGTTTTATTTTATGTACCCTAAATTCGTAGCACTATTTATTGGTCATTTAATCTCCAGTCTAATAGCAATTTGTGAAATATTATTTGGTTCATGTGACATCTTTTGTATCTTATATCTTAAACTGTTTTTTGGGGTCCTAAACTGAAACTAGTTTTATTGCTTTAGTTTGTGAAAGTAATACAAGCTAATTTTTAAAAATTCATATGATCCAGATAGGTAACAAGTGAAAACTACTCATAATTCTTTGCTGGGAATAGGGAAGGTCAGAGAGCTGGGAGGATCCTAAGAAGGGGATAACTGATTGAAGGTTTTAAGATGAAGAGACCTGGGAGCTGGATCCTCATGCAAAATAGAAATTCACCAGGCAAAAGAGTGAGGAACAGCAGCCTGGTAGTGGAACAGCAAGTACAAAGGCTCACAGGTGAAATTGTCTGGGGTGTTGGGGTCTAGTGAGAAGTTGAGAGTGGCAAGAATTGGGGTATTGGAGGGAGGGGTGTAGTAAAAATTTAAGCTTGGGGTGCAAGGAGTTAAGGTCTGTGTTAGACCCAGGAGATGGGGTTTATAAGCGGTGGGAAGCCCTTTCAGAGACCTTTGCTCAGGGGTGTGTCCTGACTGGGGAGAAGAATGGATTAGGGGGAGGCCTGGGCATGGGGACGCTGCTGGCTGGGAGATCAGTATGAAGGCAACTCTCCTGGGCCCCAGCCCAAGCCATGGCCATGGGATAGCAATAGCACTGGGGTAATGTTAGGAGTGTCCTTTCAGGCCTCATCTGGGCAGAAGAAACACTTGATGGCCACAAGGCCAGCAGCTCTCAAAGAGAAATTTGCCTGGACACAGTGTGGTGCCCCGCCATATTGGGGCCTAAGGCAAAATAAATCAGCAGTACTAGTCCCATCTTCAGTTTTGTTTAAATCCTCACCCAAGGATAGGTTTTTATTGATTTTTAGTGAAAGATAAGGAGAGAGAGAGAGAGAGAAACATCAATTTATACATTCATTGGTTGATTCCTGTATGTGCCCTGTCCAGGGATTGAACCTGCAACCTTGGTGTACTGGGATGACACTCTAACCAACTGAGCTACCCAGCCAGGGCTAGTCCTGTCTTCATTTAAAATGTCAATATTTTCTTCATCAGGGATTTTTTTGTATTAATTTTAATTTTTAAAATATTATACTAAATACAGTAAAATATTATACTAAATAATTTTTAAAATATTATACTTAATACTGAATTCGTGATAATTCAATTGATGTTTCTTCCTTTTCAGGTTTAACTCACTGGAATTAAAAATTATATAAAGTTTATATACATTTTTGGGGACACCCTATATTGTTTATCTTGATTTACTGATTTTTGGGGGGCTCCCCTTAAAGTTTAAGGTTATTATTTGTTGTACACAAGACATGAGTTTGTTATTTATTCCAATACTCTGTGAATGCACACTGAGCAAGGCATATGCAGGGCGCAGAGCTAAGCTCAACACAGATCTTGCCCTCTTGGACTGTAAGGCAGGAGAGAGGTCCCGGACTAAAATCTTGTGACTTGTGTGAAACCTGGGGACAGGTATAGACAGAGAAGGGTGATTCACACAAAATATCTCCCTTTGGGTAATTTCTGTCTCAAAGCTGAAGTCTCTGGCCACCATCCGTCATTTTGAAACAGAATGGCACTTTTTAGTGACTAAGCTGGTATTTGCATGCAGCAGAACTTGTCCCCAGTTCCCCCTCTGCCCTTTTCATAGCCTCCGGCCCAACTTCCTCGTGCCCCACTTCCCCCAGCCTGGCCTTGCTGTGACTTTCTTGATGTTATATTTAGCTTTTCAAAGTAGGCAGCCAAGTCTGCTTCCATCTGGACAGTGAGTCCACGGTGGAGCCGGCACAGAAGTTTCGACAGTCCCTTCCATGGGTGATAATCCGAGGCAGCCTCCCAAGGCTGAGTTGGCACCTCAATGCCATTCACAGATGGAGGTGCTGAGGCCCAGAGAGGTCATCCTGCTTGTCTCAGATCACACAGCTTTGAGAGCCTGCTCCTAATTTTGCCTGTCATTAAGGTAATCACAGAAATTTGGCAGTGTGGCAGCCTCAAGGAATGTCCTGGGTCAACCTCCTTTCTTGTAAGGGAGGAAACTGTACTGTACGGAAATGTTGCCATTGCCCAAGATGAATTAGCTGAGGAATCCCCCAGCTCTTTCCCTCATACCCTGTTTTTTTTCCCTTTCCAGACATGGCTGGAGTCTCCCGCTAGAGGATCAGCTTTTCCGTGGCAGGGATTTCTTCCACAGCCCAGAGCCACAGTCACAGGCAGAGCCCAAGAAGCCACGCCAGTCAGACTCAGTTAATCAACGGCAGCAATGGTGAAAGCCAGCACTTACTGAGCATGGATTATGTGCCAGGTACTTTGCAGGCATTATCTCATTTAGCCCTTACAATTCTAGGTAGGTCCTATAATCATCCCCATTTAAGAAAATTGGGATAAAAAATAACCACATAAAAATTACCACCTTAGCTATTTTTATGTGTACAGTTCAGTAGTGTATTCACATACACATTGTATATGCACATTGCTGTGATTATCCCAGTTTTATAGATGAGAAGTTTTCTCCAGGAAGTTAAGTAATTTCCCCCAGGTCCTTCACCCAACAAACGACAGAGATGGGACTCAAAGTCAGGCTATCTGACACGAGAACTGTGGGGAGCCGATATAAGGTTAAGCCTCGGACGGACCTGTTGGCAAAATCACAAACAAGTCTTCTCCGAGTCTTAAACAACCCAATCCGAGAGGTGGCCACTGATTTACACGCGCTGTCATTTAAAAAATAAAAATGGGGGAATTTGCCGGAAGCCAGACCACCCTTGCTGCTTGACACAGTTGCTGCAGGGAAGACACATCTGCACAGCTTATGTTTCAAGGGACCTGGCGTATATGGCATATGTTTGCTCCCCCTCTTAGCACTTTGTGTTTTAAACAGACCCACCTCCCCGAGAAAGGTTGTTTCCCCAGGTGGGGATTTTTTCCCTGGAGTTAGGGATTAACGGGACTAAGGAAGGGAATAAATCCGTAAAACCCCTTAACTAAGTGCCAGGTGGGCAGTTAATCACTTTAACTACGAACAATCATGCTTAAGCTACATAATCTTTACTTAGGATAATCTCCTTCAGTTACTTCCTTGTAGCTTAATAGAACAATAGAGTAACCTTGGAATGGAGATAAGAAACGCCCTAACCTTTGGGATAGAATGGATAGGATTAAAATCAACTGGTATAAATACAGATGTAACAGGACCATAAAGACAGACCTGGCTGTGATGATCAACTGAACGCTGCCTCGGTGTCATTCCTTCTTGGTTTCGGAGGTGGCGGTAGCTGCGGCCTTGGTTGTCTTCCAGTCTCCTCGGCTCGTCCTCTAGACAGCATCTCTCCCCTTCCCTCCCCTTCTTTCCTTCCTTTCCTTCCCTCCCCTTCCTTCTTTTCCTTCCCTGTCTGTGTTCAGCGGTGGCAGCTCCAGCAACGGCTGGGCCCGATCTGTGAGGAGGCCTTAGCCAACCGATAACAGCGACTGCGACACCTCGGAGCTCGCAGGGCGGCGGGAAGGCCCGGGCCGTGGAGATGGAGAATTCCCAGTTGTGTAAGCTGTTCATCGGCGGCCTCAACGTGCAGACGAGTGAGTCGGGCCTGCGCGGCCACTTTGAGGCCTTTGGGACCCTGACGGACTGCGTGGTGGTGGTGAACCCCCAGACCAAGCGCTCCCGAGGCTTCGGCTTCGTGACCTACTCCAGCGTGGAGGAGGCCGACGCCGCCATGGCCGCCTCTCCCCATGCCCTAGACGGCAACACGGTGGAGCTGAAGCGGGCGGTGTCCCGGGAGGATTCGGCGCGGCCCGGTGCCCACGCCAAGGTGAAGAAGCTCTTTGTCGGTGGCCTGAAAGGAGACGTGGCCGAGGGCGACCTGATCGAGCACTTCTCGCAGTTCGGCACCGTGGAGAAAGCCGAGATCATCGCCGACAAGCGGTCCGGCAAGCAGCGCGGCTTCGGCTTCGTGTATTTCCAGAATCACGACGCGGCGGACAAGGCCGCAGTGGTCAAGTTCCATCCGATCCAGGGCCATCGCGTGGAGGTGAAAAAGGCCGTCCCCAAGGAGGATATCCACTCCGGCGGAGGCGGAGGCGGCTCCCGGTCGGGCCGGGGCGGCCGGGCCCGCGGCGGTGGTCGTGATCAGAACGGCCTGTCGAAGAGCGGCGGCGGCGGCGGCGGCTACAACAGCTACAACTACGATGGTTACGGCGGCGGCTACAACAGCTACAACTACGATGGTTACGGCGGCGGCTACAACAGCTACGGTGGTTACAGCGGCGGCTACAACAGCTACGATGGTTACGGCGGCGGCTACAATGCCTACGGAGGCGGTTCGTCCTACGGCGGAAGCGACTACGGTAGCTGCTTCGGCGGCTTGGGCAGCTACAGCCAGCACCAGTCCTCCTACGGGCCCATGAAGAGCGGCGGCGGCGGAGGCAGCGGCTGGGGCGGTCGCACTAACAGTGGACCTTACAGGGGTGGCTATGGCGGTGGGGGTGGTTATGGAGGCAGTTCTTTCTAAAAAAAATTTTAGTCCGGGTTGACTTTAGGGGTAGCTGTTTTCAACAACCCTAGGGTCAACTCCTGAGTTCCTTTCCCTCCCACCGCCTTCCCCATTTGCCCTTGGGGGAGCCGCTTCTAAGGCTGCCTACCCTTAGGGGTATTGCCCTATTTGCCTGCCACCTCTCGTCTCCCCCTCTGAAGATGGACTCTGCCCCACCTACACATTTTTGTGTTAGTTATTGATGGACTCTATTTTTTTATTATTACTTGGACCTTAGTCGTTTTTATACTAGCAAAATGTCTTGTTTTAATTTGTGTTTTTTTGGGGGGAGGGAGTGAACTTGCTGATTCTGTAGCAAAACCTGGGTGGGGGTGGGGGTGGGGGGTTAGTTTACTTCGTTGTAAGGACTTGATACCTGGCTACAGCGTTTTCTATGAAATCTACTTGGATCCCATGCCTGAAATTTGGAAGCATATGTACAAAAATCATTTTTACGTTTTATTTTTAATAAATCATTGTGTTTGACAGTAAAAAAAAAAAGGAATAAATTCTTAAAACCCCTTAACTAAGTGCCAGGCGGGTAGTTAATCACTTTAGCTATGAACAATCATGCTTAAGCTACATAATCTTTTTTTAAAAATATATTTTTATTGATTTTTTACAGAGAGAAGGGAGAGGGACAGAGAGTCAGAAACATTGATGAGAGAGAAACATCGATCAGCTGCCTCCTGCACACCCTCTATTGGAAATGTGCCTGCAACCAAGGTACATGCCCCTGACCGGAATCAAACCTGGGACCCTTCAGTCTGCTGGCCGACGCTCTATCCACTGAGCCAAACTAGTCAGGGCAAGCTACATAATCTTTACTTAGGATAATCTCCTTCAGTTACTTCCTTGTAGCTTAATAGAACAATAGAGTAACCTTGGAATGGAGATTAGAAACGCCCTAACCTTTGGGATAGAATGGATAGGTTTAAAATCAACTGGTATAGAGATGCAAATCAAAACAACAATGAGGTACCATCTCACACCTGTCAGACTGGCTATCATCAACAAATCAACAAACGACAAGTGCTGGAGAGGATGTGGAGAAAAAGGAACACTTGTGCACTGCTGGTGGGAATGCAGACTGGTGCAGCCACTATGGAAGACAGTATGGAGTTTCCTCAAAAAACTAAAAATGGAACTCCCATTTGACCCTGTGATCCCACTTCTAGGAATATATCCCAAGAAACCAGAAACACCAATCAGAAAGGATATATGCACCCATATGTTCATAGCAGCACAATTCACCATAGCTAAGATCTGGAAACAGCCTAAGTGCCCATCAATAGATGAATGGATTAGAAAACCGTGGTACATCTACACGATGGAATACTATGCTGCTGTAAAAAAGAAGGAACTTTTACCATTTGCAACGGCATGGATGGAACT